CCACTGGAAAATGTCACAAATTGATTTATCAGTTAGAAGACAGTCTGCTCTAATGCTACGGTAATTATGCTAGGGTTTGGATTAGAACTATTCATTATAATGCCCTCGATAGACTGGCTACCAGCCCTGATGCTTTTATGAAGGATTTCCAAGCTAGCTTATCTCCCCTTAGTTTGAGAACTTAGGAACCAAAATCTAGAATCAGACATTTAAGTGATCCAAAATCTAGAATCAGACATTTAAGTGATCAAAATCATTAGAGGTTACGTACGGGTATGTTTTTTTCTAAATAATTCAAAACTGTAGAGACCTGTCTTAGCCCTTGATTACAATACTCCTGCAGTCAAGGCTTTTGGAGGTCATTAATATTGAAAAGTGATAGTATTTAGGGTAAGAAAGTAAGGAATATTAAAATACCATTAAATGAAGGTTTTCTTCTCTCTGTGAAGTAATAAGCTGTAACATATCCATCAATGTTAAAAGAACATGAAAAGCCCTTAGCAGATTTTATTTTCTTAAAAAAGATATGAAATAAGGTGTTTACAATTATATTCAGTCATTTGAGTAGGATTTGTTTTAGGGTCTTCAACAACATTTTCAATTAATCCCATAAGTAGGAGATATAGTTGATTCTGAAAATTTGGGTGAGTCCCATAGGAAAAGCATGAGTTCAGGACTAAAATATCCATGTCCCTCCAAAAAATGCATATTAAAAATTAAATTTCATACAACATCTACACAATCATTGAACATTTTTAATCTCTAAAAAGGATAAATCATTGTTGTATTTGGATGAAACTCTGTTTGGCCCCCACACCCTTATGAATGGGTCTACAGGAACAGGCGGCCACCAACACCACTTGTTCTTCTCCTATCTGATCATCTGATACTGTAATTAAAGCTTTACCATCCTTACCTCACCACAATATAAAGGTGTATCAGATTAACTTTCTAAACAGGTATCTCTAAATAAAAGGAAATATTTTATCCTATTTAAATGCTTAAAATTATATTAGAATATGTATTTCTGGTGGATCAAAGATAAATGATCTTTTTTATAATTAGTGCACTTACTCGCCTAGGATTAGTTAGCTCCACTGTTAACAGAAGGATTTGTTATTCTAGGGGCCTACCTATAGCTCTTCACCTGATTTTTGTAGAGTGAAGAGCTATTGTCTCGCTCCTGGAAAGATGTCATTCCTTGCCAACATTTCAGGTGTCTATTTGTACAGTTAAAAATGGACTGAAACTACCTTGAGAGTGAAATGGGATTTTTTTTCAGGATTCTAAAACCAGTGGCTAACAATTAGTCGGCATGGTTCAGACCAATTAGTAGAACAACTTTGTAGGTACTTATATGCTTTGTGCTGCCCTAAATTGTCTTAGCAGTAGGACATTTTTTAGAGCTGCTATAAAATGTTATTAAAAAAAATCTAGACTTGAACCAGTACAGGAAGTTAAGCTTTTCTTTGAAGATGTCATTTTAATAGCAACTAGGCTTGAACCACCAAAGGAAGTTGGGTCTTTTTTCAAAAGAGCTAAAACACAAAAAAATCCAAATGCATACATTCTTACTGGATTACGTTTTGTGGTGATGATTGAGGTATTTTTTTTATCAAAAGATATAAAACATTTTTTATTTCCTTGAAGTGATTGGTTGACGACAGTGTTAGAACAATTGATTGAGTCTGGTCTGTAAATAAAAGGCTGTTGAATCAAGGAACTACTTGATACATACACTTCCATTCTACAATAAAGACCCTGGGCTGACCCTGTAGATGGAGTGTTAATATCTTGTTACATATTGGCAATCAAGAAATTCATCAAATAGCTATAAATATAGGCTTCATAATGAATGTGTAATTGGTCAGTAAGATGTAAACCCTTTTGGAAACTAAGATCAATACAAATCGGTATACATATAATGGTCTTACTCATGTGTTAGGTCTGGTGCTGAGTCAGAGTTGGTTATGGATCAGTCTGACTGGGAGATGTGTCACCTTTGTAGACATAGAAACAGATCAATATAAACAGAACCTGTCCCATCTGACACCTGTACCACAATAGATACATATAAATTAATATAAAACCTGTCCTATCTGACAACTGTACTATAAACATATGGGTACATGAAAACTACTACAAAACCTGTCCTATCTGACACCTGTACTATAAACATGTGAGTACATATAAACTACTACACAACCTTTCCAATCTGACACCTGTACCACAATAGATACATATAAACTACTACAAAACATGTCCTATCTGACACCTGTATCACACATATATAGGTACATATAAGTAACTACAAAACATGTCCTATCTGACACCTGTACCACAATAGATACATATAAACTACTACAAAACATGTCCTATCTGACACCTGTACTATAAACATGTGAGTACATATAAACTACTACAAAACATGTCCTATCTGACACCTGTATCACACATATATAGGTACATATAAGTAACTACAAAACCTGTTCTATCCGAAACATGTACAACACATATATAGGTACATATAAATTTATAAATTATTACAAAACCTGTCCTATCTGACACCTGTACAACACATTTATAGGTATATATCAATTACAACAAAAACTGGTATGTCTGAAATCTGTATACCACACACCTGTCCTATCTGACACCTGTACCACATACATGTATAGGTACATATAAATTACAGCAAAACCTGTCCTTTCTGACACCTGTACCACAAACATGTATAGGTACATATAAATTACAGAAAAACCTGTCCTTTCTGACACCTGTACCACACACATTTATAGGTAGATATAAATTACAGCAAAACCTGTTCTATCTATAGGTACATATAAGTAACTACAAAACATGTCCTATCTGACACCTGTATCACACATATATAGGTAAATATAAGTAACTACAAAACCTGTTCTATCCGAAACATGTACAACACATATATAGGTACATATAAATTTATAAATTATTACAAAACCTGCCCTATCTGACACCTGTACAACACATTTATAGGTATATATCAATTACAACAAAAACTGGTATGTCTGAAATCTGTATCCCACACCCCTGTCCTATCTGACACCTGTACCACATACATGTATAGATACATATAAATTACAGCAAAACCTGTCCTTTCTGACACCTGAACCACACACATGAATAGGTACATATAAATTACAGCAAAACCTGTCATATCTGACACCTGTACCACACACATTTATAGGTAGATATAAATTACAGCAAAACCTGTTCTATCTATAGGTACATATAAGTAACTACAAAACATGTCCTATCTGACACCTGTACTATAAACATGTGAGTACATATAAACTACTACAAAACATGTCCTATCTGACACCTGTACTATAAACATGTGAGTACATATAAACTACTACAAAACATGTCCTATCTGACACCTGTACCACAATAGATACATATAAACTACTACAAAACATGTCCTATCTGACACCTGTACTATAAACATGTGAGTACATATAAACTACTACAAAACATGTCCTATCTGACACCTGTACCACAATAGATACATATAAACTACTACAAAACATGTCCTATCTGACACCTGTATCACACATATATAGGTACATATAAGTAACTACAAAACCTGTTCTATCCGAAACATGTACAACACATATATAGGTACATATAAATTTATAAATTATTACAAAACCTGCCCTATCTGACACCTGTACAACACATTTATATGTATATATCAATTACAACAAAAACTGGTATGTCTGAAATCTGTATACCACACACCTGTCCTATCTGACACCTGTACCACACACATTTATTAGTACATATAAATTACAGCAAAACCTGTCCGATCTGACACCTGTACCACACACATTTATAGGTACATATAAATTACAGCAAAACCTGTTCTATCTGACACCTGTACCATACACATTTATAGGTACATATATGTTACAGCAAAACCTGTCCTATCTGACACTGTACTCCTGGACCCGACACAATTTAGTCAATGATAATGAATTCTTGTTTACTGAATGCTAATATAGTTCAAGGTGAATCCCTGTTATGCCTCTAGATATAATGGCAGTGTCATGCTATACGATGACATCATGTATGTCAATGATTCGTGTATGTAGCATTTACTTGAAAAAAGAAATAGTTACTGTAACTTGAAGCCTTTTGATATTATCAGACTAGATCTCCAAGACTTATTACCATGGTTACAGCTGTATGTAATACTGGTATTTTTGTTTTCAATAATATCGAATATCAAGGACACCAATAGAAGTAAGGTACATGACCAGGGATCAGGTATACTACATTAATGGCAAGCGGTCATCTGATCTCGGCAATGATGTGTCAGAAAAACATCTACTTCAGTTCTCTACGAGTGAGCTGAAGTTTCTTCTGTTAATATTTACTCACAAAAAAAGATGATAGGAAGTTGTATGTTCTGATTGAGATTGATCTTTTGAAGGTTGAAGTCTTGTATTAAGAGTTGACACTATGTAAGGTATCACTATTACAGGATCACATAACAGACTACAATGATAACAGTTTGTGTGTGTATCCCAGTTACAACGGACACATCATTAACAAGTTCTGGGAGATCTTTCAAACCTCGTTTGAAATGATGTATTTGTGTTCTGAGAGGGAAACTCATGACCAATACAACCCATTACATGTTTTACAAAGATTGTCCTTGTGGTATCACAATATATCTAATTGACCTTGTTTTGTTTACAAGGTCGGAAATGTTCAAAGCCAAACATCTCTGCTTTATTTTCACCCTGTTTCAGATTTCTATCCTTGAAAGACACAGATAGGAAACTTTGCCACCAGCTGTTATAACTTTTAAGAGTTATTTGCACAGTACATTGTAGTACCTAATATCTTGTAAAACTACCCCGCCCGCCATTACATAATTATGATCTCTGTCAAGACTGAGGATGTCTCATAAAATGTTCAATTCACTGTATAGTCCCATGTCTGTGTTCCAGGTACGATGGATCCGAAGGACTTCCTGGCCGAGGCCCAGATCATGAAGAAGCTGCGACACCCTAAGTTGATCCAGTTATATGCTGTGTGTACCCAGGATGAACCGATCTACATTGTCACCGAGTTGATGAGACATGGCAGTCTGCTTGAGTACCTTCAAGGTAGGCCAAAATACTTCCCCTGTAAAAGTGCTAATAAACCAATCTTTTGGCTGGATGATAATACATAGAGATCCCTCACTCTTGTCATATATCTCCCCAGTCAGTTTTGAACAAAGTTAAACAAACAAGTGCCCTGAAAATCATCTTGTGAAGGACAATACCATATTCACTGTAATTAATGCCCCACCCGTTATAAGTGCCCCTTCCCAATTTTCAAGGCACTAATTACAGTGAATACAGTAGTTTTGATCGTCTAAATAAGAGGAATATTATATATATGAAGAAGATGAATGTTTAATTTGGATAAACTCAGTTACAGTTTAGTAAAATATAATCTGGAGTAATATTTTACAGATGAGTCACAATTGAAGTGACTACTGTTCAGTAGGTAGGTGAGGTGACTGTTCAGTACTAGACACATTGATTTGTGATGTAACAGCTGTAAACAGGCCTTATATTGTGTGTAATCTGATACAGATGTCAGACAATAGTGGTCCCTGGCGGATCTCAGGTAGATAGGTATCCATAGTGTTGTCTCTTTAAGTACATTTACACCTTTAGTGTCCCAGGACTGTAGTACCTGTGATAAGTGACATAATGTATAGATGATTGCTGGTTGGATCTTTAACTGAACTTGTAAGCTAGAAGAAAAAAGATTAAAGAGATAGGAAGGTTTAATTGAATTAAAGAAGGACGGGTGAAGATCAGGTTTTAAAGAGGCCAATTGTCTATTCATTAGTAACACAGCTTACACACAAATTCCTAACCGCCATTTCTCTAACCTAATGCCTTACTAATTTAGACCAGCTGCTATAATATCTTTATTTCTGAGTGTTCACTTTTAAGTTGAAATACAAATTAATACAACAGCTTCTCTCTCACCATCTCTTATTATACTTCACCTGTTTTCCACAATCTTTATATTAAGTTGTGTAAAGCCTTGTTAAAATATTTTCCAGGTTTTAGTTTCCTTAATATATGAAAACATTCGGCAAATAATTTCTTATCTATATATTGATTATCAAAATAGATGTTAGCACACATGGTTAAATTTAAAAAAAAAATCTGTGGTCTTCATAATATAGAAATAATATTTTCATAGAAAATAATTCTAAAATAACTTTCAACCAAGCATTATTTTTTTTAGTTAAATACGTGAGATTGTATCAGAACTTATAAGTGATTCTGTTGCTGTTTGCTCCAAAACTGTTGATCTTGGTATATCACTGATATGACCTATTTGTTGTAGGTAAGGGGCGGAGTCTGAAGCTCCCACAACTGATAGATGTTGCTGCCCAGATTGCTAGCGGTATGGCATACCTGGAGTCTCAGAACTACATACACAGAGACTTGGCCGCAAGAAATATCCTGGTCGGAGATGCTAACAATGTCAAGATAGCCGACTTTGGGTTGGCCAGAGTCATTAAGGTAAGTACTTGGCAAGTTAGCCGACTCATCAACACATAAAAGGAGCCATTTTGACCACTTAGGTCCATCCAGTGTCACCAAAATAGATACAGATCAATATAACTGACTTTGGTGTGGTAAAGATCTTCAGAGTAATGTGTCTGTCTTTGGTATGGCTGGTTTAGGTGAGATTACCCCAGTAGCTAAACTATTTTTTATTTAACTCAAACTCATTGGTTGTTTTCTACTGATCAAATATGTGAACTGAAACAATAATGGATTCTGAACATATTTGCTATAGTTTTTCACTATAATCAATGCTAAGTTTGTTTTGAACACAAATAGTGATTAAATACTTATTTTGGGAGCTTTCGAAAACGTCTGTTTCCTTTGTTGAGCAAAGAGTGCAAATGACTGTTGTCTCGACTCTAAAGTGCAGATGTTTTCAAAAGCTTGCAAAAACTCGCAAATAGGTTTTCAATTACTGTTTGTGTTCAGAACAAACTTAGCATTGATTATTCATACCAAACTGATGAATCTTGTTTTATGTTATAGTGATATTACTCAGTCCTTAAGTCTGACATCGCTGTTCATTTCAATGTTTTCTTAAAGCAAGTTTAGCACTAATTATAGGATAATGGTGAATACTGTTTTGCATTTTGCAAAATACAATGTATAGTATGCATATAAAAGAACAACTGTTTGTATGAAAGTCTCATATTGCTCTTGTTTATTGCGTGTGTAGATTTATTTCAATGGGTTAAAGCCCTCATGAAATATATCCATACATGTATGTGCAATTTAGTCAAGCATTCAGGGATGTCTGATGAACTTGTGCATGGTATTGCCTACATATAATATATATACCAGATAACATGGAAAAATATCATCTATAAATAGCAGAAAAGTCACTAAATGGAAAGTCCTCTTTTTAGCTCACCTGGCCCGAGGGCCAAGTGAGCTTATGTCATGGTGCAGCGTCTGTCGTCCGTCTATCCGTCGTCTGTCGGCCGTCATCCGTCATCCGTCGTCCGTCTTCAATATTTTACTTTAAACAACTTCTTCTTAATAACCAAAATGCCTAGGGTGATGATATTTGGCCAGAAGCAAACTAGGATTAAGGGCTTCCAAGTTTGTTCAAAAAAATGACATTCACCTATTTTCAAGGTCACAGGGGTCAAATATGTTAAAAACTTTAAACAACTTCTTCTGAATAACCAAAATGCCCAGAGTGATGATTTTTGGCTAGTAACATGCTGGGATGAAGGGCTACCAGGTTTGTTCAAATGAATGACCTTTGTCCATTTTCAAGGTCACAGGGGTCAATTGTCTTAAACATTCTTTATACAACTTCTTCTTCTGAATAACTAAGAGGCCTAGGGTTAAGGTATTTGGCCAGTAGCATGCTGGGATGAAGGGCTACCTAATTTGTTCAAATGAATGACCTTGACTTATATTCAAGGTCGCAGGGGTCAAATATGTTAAAAACCTTTAAACAACTTCTTTTGAATAACTAAGAGGCATAGGGTTACGATATTTGGCCAGTAGCATGCTGTGACAAAGGCCTACCAAGTTTGTTCAAATGAATGACCTTGGTCCATTTTCAAGGTCACAGGGGTCAATTGTCTTAACAAATCTTTAAACAACTTCTTCTGAATAACCAAAATGCCCAGAGTGATGATTTTTGGCTTGTAACATGCTGGGATGAAGGGCTACCAGGTTTGTTCAAATGAATGACCTTTGTCCATTCTCAAGGTCACAGGGGTCAATTGTCTTAAAAATTCTTTATACAACTACTTCTTCTTCTGAATAACTAAGAGGCCTAGGGTTAAGGTATTTGGCCAGTAGCATGCATGGATGAAGGGCTACTTAGTTTATTCAAATGAATGGCCTTGACTTATATTCAAGGTCGCAGGGGTCAAATATGTTAAAAACCTTTAAACAACTTCTTTTGAATAACTAAGAGGCATAGGGTTACGATATTTGGCCAGTAGCATGCTGTAATAAGGGGCTACAAAGTTTGTTCAAATGAATGACCTAGGTCCATTTTCAAGGTTACAGGGGTCAATTGTCTTAACAAATCTTTAAACAACTTCTTCTGAATAACTAAGAAGCCTAGGATGATGATATTTGGCCAGTAGCATGCAAGGATAAAGGGCAACCAAGTTTATTCAAATGAATGATCTTTACTTATATTCAAGGTCACTGGGGTCAAATATGTTTAAAACCTTTAAATGACTTCTTCTAAATTAGCCAAAGGCCAAGGGTGATGATATTTGGTCACTAACAGGCTGGGATGAAGGGCTACCAATTTTGTCAAAATGAATGACCTTCGCCCATATTCAATGTCACAGTGATCAATATATGTTTAAATCTTTAAATGACTTGTTCTGTATAACCAATAGGTCCAGGGTTATGATATTTTGCCAAAAGCATGCTGGGTTGGAAGAAAAGCATGCTGGGTTGGAAGACTTTAAACTCTGTTCAACCTAATGTCCTTGTTCTACATTCAAGGTCACAGGCGTCATATGTTTAAATCATTTAATAGGTTCTTATGAATCAAACACTGATATTCTGCCTGTAGCTGTATTTTAGTCCACTTTTAAGATTACAAGTGTGAGATTAATACCAGGTGAGCGATTCAGGCCCATTGGGCCTCTTGTTTTAGTTATCAGGTTGTACTTACTTTTGCAATGCTTTTCAAGTATGTTCATGTTTGCTAAGTTTTGACATACACTAAGTAAATCTCATTTGTTTTATCTTAAAATACAATCTTACCCAGGTTAAAATACAATCTTACCAAGGTGTATTGACTTGTAAGCATATTTCCTGTTACCAGGAGGACGAATATGAAGCCAGAGTGGGTGCCAGATTCCCCATCAAATGGACTGCTCCCGAGGCGGCTAACTACAACAGGTTCACCATCAAGTCTGATGTCTGGTCCTTTGGAATCCTTCTCACAGAAATTGTTACCTACGGCAGAATACCATATCCAGGTCAGTTTTAACTTTATACGATGGCAAGTTTCTGTCCTGTTCTATTATCATTAGGAGAGGTAACTCAACATGGAGCGGTTGAAATGACCGAAGGGGGACGATACAGTTTACTCACTGAAATTATAAATGTTACCTGTTCATTTTAGACTAAATTCACTATAATAGGGAGTGTTAATATTGTAGCTTATCATATAACAGCAAATATTCATCTGTAGATAATCGTCTCAACATATATTCAGTCTCTTGGACATGATCACATACTTTCCATCAAACATGTAAAAGTAAATGTGATTTTCTGCAAAGCACCTGCATGCTGTAAAATCTTTTGAAATGAATTATTGTATCATCTGTTATTTCAATATCAATCCAAGTTCCTCCACTTTTTCAAAATTAAATAGTTTTGTTAATGTATTAATAAACAACGTCTGTTTTGTGTACAGGTATGACGAATGCTGAAGTGCTACATCAGGTAGAACATGGCTACCGTATGCCCAACCCCCCGGGCTGCCCTAAGCCACTCTACGAGATCATGCTGGAGTGCTGGAGGAAGGAAGAAATGGAACGACCCACATTTGAGACACTACAGTGGAAATTAGAGGAATATTTCGCCAATGAGGGCACCGACTACCGTGAGGCTGGGGCTGTCAGATAGGACAAGGGGGATAACTCTAGTGTCTACCAGTAAACAGGATATAAACACTGCCTTGCTGTCATGAGAAGCTGCTACATGTCTGGCTGTACCAGACTGGACTACCCGGACCTACTGTGGACAGCTACGTCAGATTGACAGCTGTTTTATATGGAGGACTCTAACCATCTTGCTGTCCACAAGTGGTTTTAAATGTTTTACAAAACAAGTATTTTTTTTATTTATTTTAACAAATTGGAGATGTCTTTTTCTCAAGATGGCATGCATAGATGTAACAAAGTATAATTGGATGTATTTACACCCAGAATACCTGGAGACGTACTGTCAAGTGCATTGTTGTGTGGTGGGAGGCTAAAATATGAATGGCCAGTCATTATCTGCCCTGCTTTTCTTGGCATGGTTCAACATTTAATATGTGCCTCTAGAGAAATGGCGCATCAGCTCCAGCCTTCTGTAGGTGGATATATGTGCCTCTAGAGAAATGGCACATCAGCTCCAGACTTCTGTAGGGTGGATATATGTGCCTCTATAGAAATGGCACATCAGCTCCAGCCTTCTGTAGGTGGATATACTTCAATGGTAGATACATGGATACTGGTGACGATCGCAGTGAACAGTACTGAGGTACATATACTTACATTACATGTTGTCACAAAAATTACTTGGATCCAGCTAATATTGGTGTTCAGGATCACATATGAAGAAGGAAAAATTACCATTGAATCTTGTTTCTAAGTCCACAGTTCTTTTGTCGTGTGGATGCCTTGTTGCTTTTAAATGACATTCTACGATTTGATTAGTGTTTGGAAAAAATGTGCTTTGAATCGGTGAAAAAAATATTATAGGTTTAAAGTGTAATTGACTGCACATTCATGTCTTTGATTTCAAACAAGAATGGTCTTAGCTTGGATCTGCATAAATTTCATATGTATTAATTAATTGGTAAAGTTGATGTGTATACATTCAATGAGTTGTGTATTGTATAGACTGTGTACAGTATCTTTGAAGACAGAACACTCATTTTGAATTGTAATGTGTTCTGATTGGTTGGAGGTTAGGTATACCGGTTATTCAAATTTACTAGTCACTGTCTAGAACTAACACAGGATATAACGTAAAACACAAACGCATATTCCTAAGGTCACATTACTTCAGTTGTGAAGAAATGAAATATACCATGTTAATACATTTGTACCCCCAAAATCCAAGTCAAACTTTGGTTTGTCTCTAAACTTGTTAGAATGAAATGATCATATTTCATTTACAAACTTACAGCTGTCACTAAATTATGTTTCCTATTGAAAATATTTTGCATTTATATAATTCACAAATCTGATTGTCTGATGAAATCAAGATTGATTTTTGAATGCATTATCATAAAATAAATTTGGGAATGAGTTTTACATTAACTCTTTTACCACCGTAGACCATAATGGACTCGCCCAGATAAATGTATGGTAGAGTCTACTAAAGTTACTTAGGGGTGAAATGGTTAAATAGTGACTGTTAACTGTTATACATACAGGGTGTAATTCACACTGTAAGGACAATGTGATAGAACTCCCTTTTATATGCCTCCATTGGTTCGTTATCACAAAATGCATTCATACAGTGCTAAATCTTTATATTGATAGAATGGATTGTCAATGCTTTGCCTTTATCATATATACTATCCTACAAGGGTACAATGTACTATCACCCCTACGTCACAATCTACCCACCATTTTGTTACAGTCTTGTTTGGCTACAGATCAAAGCTACATATGAATATATATACGATACAAACATTTATATAGCTGCAGGTTTTGAATTTAAAAGGGGAAATATCACATTGAAACATATATATATCTACAATAAATATTATGTAAGTATTATGATACTTAAGATATGTTAGTTTTATAAATCTCTTGTAACTTTTTCATATTCCTGACAGAAGCAGAACAAGCACTTCTGCTGATATAAATTGAGTTAATTTGGAATTACAAAGTGAACTTCATAATATCAGAATTCAAAATGTTTTGGGTTTTGTTTGGCTGACATTTCACATGGAGAATACATGAATAGAAATCTAGGTACTGGTAGTCACACTTGTATTTAAAATGCAATCATTAATGCTCTTTCTAGTATTCATAATCCATGTTTTTTTGTATAAATTCCTGTTTGGACCAAAGGCTGTATAAGTAATACATGCAGATGTCATGCTTAATACAGATATCAGCCTCCGTACTGTTGTACCAGATGAGTGGACGGAAGTACGCTGTCACATATCCATGGTTACCGTTGGTGTGGTTACTTAGGTGGCACAGTATTGTACATCGTAACACAAGTTTTATATTTGTATTTCTCTTCATACATAATATTGCACACATTTTTATCAACCGTTTTAATAGATTTATATATTTGTGTCTGCTTCAGCTTGGGTGTCACAGTGTTGTAGACTGCTAGATAATGCAATCTACAAAGCTAATCGTGTGTAGACAAAGTCGCCTTTCATATTTGGAACATTCTTGTATGTAAGTCATGTCCCCATGAGCCTTCATTGTCTGGTAAACAGAAACCGTTGTCATAGTGATGTACATACACATAACATGATTTGTCACTAATTCAAAGTTTCATAACATTACTGTAGACAGTTTTCCTGGAACAGATGGTTGTAAACTATGTAAGAATTGGATATGAGAACATGTTTGGTTGTTGCTAAATGTATTAACTGGAAATGAAAGTAAATTTTGTTGAAATACAGTGCTGAGAGGAAAATTAGCTTGTGACAATGTGAGCATAAGGATGCCGGGATAATGTGAGAATGTCGTGATGTGAAATGTCACATGACATCGTGCTAGGCTAAGGGTAATGTAGTTTGATATGGTGATGTGAGAATGTGACTAGATGTCTAATAGTACATGTTGCTAGGTTGATGTGGACATGTTGCTAGGGTGATGTTGACATGTTGCTATATTGATGCTGACATGTTGCCAGGTTGATGCAGACATATCACTATACTGATGTGGGCATATTGCTAGGTTGATGTTGACATGTTGCTAGGGTGATGCAGGTATATTGCTAGGTTGATGTGGACATGTTGCTAGGGTGATGCAGGCATATTGTTAGGTTGATGCAGGCATATTGCTAGGTTGATGTGGACATGTTGCTAGGTTGATGTGGACATGTTGCTAGGTTGATGCAAGCATGTTGCTAGGTTGAAGTGACATGTTACTAGGTTGATGTGGACATGTTGCTAGGTTGATGTGGACATGTTGCTAGGTTGAAGTGACATGTTACTAGGTTGAATTGACATGTTACTAGGTTGAATTGGACATGTTGCTGGGTTGACGTGACATGTTACTAGGTTGATGTGGACATGTTACTAGGTTGAAGTGACATGTTAAGAGGTTGATGTGGACATGTTACTAGGTTGAAGTGACATGTTACTAGGTTGATGTGGACAGGTTACTAGGTTGAAGTGACATGTTACTAGGTTGATGTAGACATGTTACTAGGTTGATGTGGACATGTTGCTGGGCTGATTACTTGTGTTGCTTTGACAATGTGAACATGTCGATTGGTGATGTGGAGATTTTCCAGATCCTAGGATGATGAATTGAAGTGACCAACATATATTTACTCAAATTCAAATGATGATTATATAAGGTGTGTTGTACCAGCCTTAAGTGATGAGTCAACAATATTAAAACATATTACAGTTACAGCTGCTAGCTTGTGGATAATTATAGTACATTTGTACTTGAGACTTTTTTTAAATGTTCATAAATTAATACAGTAATTTCAGATAAAAGTAAAGTTTTGTTCATGACATTGATTCCATAAGATTTCATCTCCAAAAAATATTAAGAATCTTTCTGGTCAATATTACACCGGCTATCCCAGAGTGTGTTAGGATGTTGTGTGTTTGGAGAGTAAGGATGTGTCGGTTGATAAGGTGACTCATATGTGATGATGAGAGTGACAGGGTGATGTGACGAGGGTTACGATGTATGTATATCACAGAGTGACAGGGTGATGTGACGAGGGTTACGATGTATGTATGTATATCACAGAGTGACAATATATGTGCTTTCTTGATTCACAAAGCTGTAATTAACATGTCATTAATGCATTATTCACTTTGGTTTTATTTACTACAATATATTGCAGCAACATCCATTTGCCAACATTTTCATGTCAAATATAGAGGGTGAATCACCATGGTTACCTGTAGCTGACCAATCATTGCTCATAATTTTGGAAGAACTGTGTTTGTTGTCGAGCTTTGACTAAATTCATGTCCATCCTGATGATCGGGTGCTTCACATAAAAAGGAGTGCAATTCTCTGCTGGATTATACTCCTAGTGTAACAGTTCAACTGATTAACAAAATTCATGCATGGATTTTAGGAGTGTAATGTCATGATCTGTTTTAATTATTTTTCAGTACATGTAATTTGATTTTTATGTGAAAAGAGGGACATTTTAAAATGTCAACAGTATCCAGTTTTACTCCTATACAACAGCGCTTCACAGTTATAGATATTTCTTTGCTTCACTTGGTTATTTGCAGGATGTTTTAGAGTAAAGTGGCATTAATAAATACTGTTTATGTAAGAACTAACGGTGAGATTTGTAAAACTGAGACCAAGTAGCTGTTGATTAGAATTTCTCCATTTTGTAGTTCGAATGTTACCTCGTAGAAATTCTCTACTATGATTTTGCCAAAAGGCTGTTTGTGTACATGGTGTCACTGACTTGCTTGTGCAGTGAGGACAATAATACAGGGTCACACATGTAAAATTGTGATAGAGAAATTCTTAACTAAACCAAAATACAAGAACAAAAAAATATAGAAGATTGGAATTTGAACTAATGCATAAGAATCTCCCAAACTTGACAAATGTGTTAAGTACAGTACGGGTATGTAACACTCGATAGAAGTTGACCGTTTGTTGAAATTTTGAAAATTGTTTTTCAGATAAGCATTTTCAATGTGCATGTATACAGTACTACACATATACAAAATATAAAATTATATGCATTCTTGGTGCCCCATTGGTTTCTGTGATTAGAACTACAATTTTATACAAAACTCATCAATGTCGTTATTATATCCAAGGACAGTGTCGTATCTTTGTAGTTTCATACAGTAATTTCTTTATATTTTTATGCATTTGTGATTTCATAGTCATTGTATTCAAATATTACACCCATTTAAAACATGAAATATTGTTTAGCCATTACTTTACAAGGATGGCAAATTCCGCTGTATAGGTTGTATAGGTCAATGGAATTAGATTATCCTGCTAAAATTCGTTATAGTTCTTTAGCATTCTCTGCTCTACCTGGTCGACTGAATTCACTACTCCTTGGTTTATCCTTCAGTTATCAACAATATTTCTGGATGTATTAAATCTGATTTCCTTTTCATCCAGGCTGCTTATTTTTCTCTCGATTTGTTGGAAATGAATGCCAGAACAGATTCTCTTACAAAAAAAAAAAATGACTGACTTGCTAAAGGAGGATATGCCTTGTATGATTTTGGGGAACAGAACACCCTTGGGATAATGTATGTAGGTCATTGGGCGTCAGGAGAGGATTGTGACAGAGGTGTATGACGTCAACACTTCTACTGGTGTGTGTCCAGTAAGGACATATTCCTGATAAACCGCTAGTCACTGTGTTGTAGTAGTCCCATACTTGTGTTGACAACAGATAAATTCATTTGACTCAAATCCTGAAATTTCAAAATAGCTCACATTTGTTGGTGGCTGTAAATAAAAAGGCTTAAAGTGAATGGAGAAAAGATCATGCCTGTACCAAAATATTTGACTTGATGCATTTTTCTCTAATTTGTTTATTTTCTTAGCTTAATTTTTCCACCTCCTACAAGAATGAGATGACACTTTTAGCGCTCGATATCATAATGTTGTTCAAATACTGAAGCTTCTGGGTTCTCCATATGTATAGCTGGAACCAAGAGCATATTGTATGTAGGATACAATATCATGTGTGTGTATTTTCATGCTGAAAGTATGAAGATCTCTGTTCCTGATCATACGACCAAAACTTAGATATGCAAGATTTATGTTAGATGTACAATTAACTTGCACTGTAAAACGAAATTGGAGACATTTGATGCTTTTAATTGTATGAATGTCTATAGGTAATGCAGTTAACATGTATTTGGAGAAGTTTAAAATATGGTACCGTTGTAAAACAAATTATGAATAGAAAGAAGATAGAGGAGATACTCAGTATGTAACAATTCTTTGTTTATTATGAAGGAATAACCTACCGTACCTGGATACTAAATTGTCTGTAAACATGTTAGAATTTGTATCCAGTCATTAATATAAGCATCTCTTAAAAAAGGTTGATATCTATTTTTTGTAAGCTTTTTAGGTGTATGCCAAATGATTACAAATTGGTTTAATATATAATGTTCCAGATATCTGTATACTATTCACATTTATATGGAACAAATTGGTTCCTATGATATACATACAGTGTATATATTGGACATTTGAATTAGCTAAGAGTCTGGAGGAAACGTTTCTGTCAGGAGGCCGAGTGCAATCTATATATGACTACAGAGGTATAACTATAACTATATGTATCCCACATGTATTATTGTACGTCAGAGACTTGTGTGTCCTCCACTTCCTTCTGTCGTTCATGTTGTATTGTCAATATCTTTGTGTGTAACTCACAATCTCTGTCAAGAAATCATCTTACATTAAACTTATAAAAGATTTCCTTGTTCTTGTTTTATTTTAAAACGTATACAACATAACAACCACCCTATCTGGCCTAACTTACGTCTATGTTTTGAAAAGTGTCGCCTCCTCATTTCTCGCATTTGTTCAGCGATTAAAAACTGTCAACTAATCTTGTTTCCATAAAAAAGGGCAGAGTTCATTTTCAACTATGGATCTATCATATTGGTTACCTGTAGAAGAAATGCTCCACAGGATAAACTTTTGTTAATGCTTGAAGAAAATGACAAAAGCACTCGCTTGAAATTGATCTTTTTAGCGCTTTTCACCTGTTCCACGATTTTCTGAATTGCCTCGGGTACAAATTAAGTCAGATATAGTAGTCGAGATAAATTAAGTTCCACTGAATATAACATTCTGTGGTTGTGACCTTGCTGTGCATAGGGTAGTTTACCTTTAAACCATTGTAGTGACCTTGACCTTAACAATACAGACTGCCACACAATATGGAGTTTACTTGAACACTACAAGCCTGTTACCGTTGACCTTGACATTGGTGGAGTGAACTTGAGTGTATACAACATCATTTTGTCATAATACACGTCTTTGAAACTTTGATAAACACTGTTCAGCTATTCAGAAGTGATAGTCGAGACAAATACCATGTGACTTGTCTATTCATTAAAAACATCATATATCTATGAAGATAAGTAGTTCAAAATTTTGTCAAAAAAAATAATAGTCACTTGACCTTTGCCCTGTTGGTTGTGAATCTGACCATGTGTTTGTTGTACAAACAATCTAGTCTTTATAATACACATTAATATGTTTCATTAAACAATGTTTAGTTATTTGAAATTTACAATATAAACGAGTACTGCAGGGCAGAACAATACAGGTCTGTCCCATGCCAAATTGACATACTTAAAATGGTTCTAATGTATTTTTGTATCTAAATGCATTATGGTACATGGAAATATAGGGAGAAGAAACTACAATCGACTGTTTTACTAATATAGTTGATAATTATTTCTTTAATGCGGTGAAAGAAAAAGCAAACTGTAGGTAACAGGAGATGGACAAATGACCTGGGACTCTCCTAACTCTAGACGGACACTCTACTAATTGAGCTGCCTGGTCGCCAGTGATCGACCCAGTCCTTTTTCCAAGTCTTCACCCTACAACTATTTACAACCCATGGCCAGGTTTGGGTATCTCCTAGCCAAGCATACACCAACTGCTTGAAACAATGGTTAGTCACAGGCACCACTGTAACAGGAGGTGAAAAAAAGCATGGCCAGACCGGGGCTTGAACAAAGGACTCTCCGAACTCTAGACGGACGCTCTATCAATTGAGCTATCTGGTTGCCTACGATCGACCCATTCCAGTTCTGCCACACTGTACTTGAATAAAGTGAGCTGAAGGAATATATATATATTTTAAGTCCATAAGGTGCCATAACTTTATAAATTAGTCAGATAATGGTGCTAAATGAACTTGTCTGGAGTATTGAGCAGACATTTCGGCAATTCTATCAAAGGCCACAACTCACGCAGTCATGATACAATAGATTTGGTTATTGAACTTGTCTGTGTTTTCATAGTATTAACCTTCCTATTTAGTTTGAAGTGAATCTATTGAAATTCACTTCCGATATCAAGCAGACACCATGCGTGCTGGCCCATAGGTGGACATGATGCATAAAAACGATCGCAGTGATAAGACATTACCCCCCCCCATAGGATTTTGACCTTTTGGAAGTGTAGTACATGACACAATCTTGTATAATAATCCAATCAAAATCTGAACATGTACATGTATATTTATTCATATAACAGAAATTCCTGATGTAAATGCTACCTTTTTGTAAATCCTTCTTTCTAAAAGCTTTTCATATCCCCAACAAATCGATATTTTGACATGGTTAATAATTTGATGACACATCTGAAACATGCACAATGACTTGTAAATGGATTCTTCTTCTAATAATCTGCATACCACCTCTGGTGTATTGTCTCAGATGACACTCGCCATGTCTTGGTGTAAATGTATAGGGTAAAATATACCTAAATTCAAGATAATCTTTCCAAACTTTATCAATGCATCCCACATATAGATATTCGTGTAAGAATAAACAGCAGTTCTTTATAAGGATACCTTAAATAAACAACAATGAAGACAATGTTTGACTACTGATATGTAAATTTAGACTTTCATCTTGATGCCTCTCTTCACACCAGCCCTGATCCCCGAGATCTCTCCTCCGTACCGGGCCATCTCTGTCCTGGCCTCACGGACCTGAAACAGACAGTAATGTAAGTATTAACATATGTCCCGTATAGAATAAGTTGTACCTCTGTGGAGATTGACACCATTAAATCTAGATTGAACTACATATCAAAGTTTGTATTCAGCATGTCGGGTAAATTTGTCAAAAAATACATTTGTTTACCGAGACTGATATTGTCTTGACAACAGATTTAAATGTCTAAATGGACCATTAGAAAGAAGGTAATTAATTAAATTAATGATAGAATTGTAAAATTAAATTTCAACACGTATCAATAACTGATTCACCCTGTCTGAATGGTCATGTGATATTCACAAGTGTTGATCTGTGTCTTGTTTCACAACTTACCTGTCCTTTCCTCCTGATCTTAGCCTTCCTGTACTTCAGCTTGTTTTTCACACGTGGATTCCTCTGCTCCTTCTTTCTCTTGGGAGTCATGCCCTTGTTCTTAGCAATCTTAAACACAAATCAATCATATAAATGCATGAAAGTTTTTTTTAACTTTTCAACAATGTCTCCTTTTCTTAAATCAATATTAATGTATACAGAACCCATTAAATTGTTGTCGTCGTTATCTAACAGTCAACTTTTCCCAGGTAACTATAATTTAAACTGAATTTGAAAATATTTCTCTGCCAACAACTTTAATAAAACATTTAAAAAATTATTTGAACTGTTCAAAAAGAATATATTATAGTGTTCTTTTCCACAAAACACTTGTTTGATTTAAATTTGTTTGTGATAATTTAGGGAGAGTAATTTATGAAACATGTACCTGAAAAGTGATGGCTCGTTTGCCTTCCTCCTCCTCCTCTCCTTCCTCCATTTCATTGTCTACCTCTGGAGCCTCTTCCCTCTCCTCAGCACCACTGGAACCACACAAATGCAGGATTAAGATTATTTGACTAAGTTTTAGCTTACATTAAAGAAAGGTGGACAGTGTTAACTAAAATTGCTATTTTCCTTAGTTCAAATAATATTTCCTCTCGTATAACATTTGCTCACAATTGTCATCAAATGATTTACTTATCCTAACAAATGTCCTGATCATATACCTGTACACCTGTGCATACCTGTCCATTTCCTCGTTATCCTTGGACCCTGCTCCCTTCATCATCCTGTAGTACTCTAGGGCAGCCTTCTCCTCCTCTGTCTCGTACCTTCCACTCCCAGAATTCTAGGGAAACAAGATCACAATATACAGTTACAGTGCAATAACCAGTGCTGGTATGTAGAGCGTTTACAACTCGGATATCTTGAATGCCATTTATCTTCAGACATTTGTTTGGTTACATGACATTTGATTCTAATATATAATCTAAACCAATTAATTTCAAGATGTCAAAACTTCACCATTTTGTTTATTTGCCGGGTTTAAATATTACACAATGCTCTAACAATCTCAAACAATTTCCCATTTTAATACATAAAAGTTATATACATGTATTAATAATGAGCTTGAAATTTCAGAAAAGAAAGGTTAAGATATTGTTTTAATCATAAACTCATCCCAGGCATTTTGAATTACACATTATCTGAGTGCTTAGACAGGAAAACTCCACCCATGAATCTGGGACATCATCAAAACGGCATCACAATGAGTAATATCACATGTCAGATACCAAAAACTTTTGTGGTGGTGTTATAATTAGTTATTGCACGTAAGGAACAACAAGTTCTGCACCACAACAAACCTTTGCTTTCGGTTCAACATCATCGTCCTCCTCGTCGTCATCGGATTCTGACACCAGCTGACTCAGTTTTTTATTTTCCACTCTCTGTCTGGAGGATTTGACAGATTTACGCCTGTAATACAAGAAATTTAAAGTATGTGAATTCATTATCATTGTTAAATATCAGGCCTTTTTGTTTCTTGGGACAGAATGTATTCAGAAAGCACTAACTTGGTGGTCTGAGCAAAATGTAGGAGGTTTTTAAATTTTACAGAATTACAGCAAATTTTCCAGGTTTGCTCCAGTTTAACACTTCTCTAAAAAACTGTGCATTTACTGGCCTAACTTTTACAGATGTCAACATAAACACAACTTTGTGTATTGTGGGGGTTTTTCAAACTTTTGTGAAATCAATGCATTTCTGATTACTTGATATACCTAGTATATGGTATTATGTTTTCTAGTTTTAATAAAGTACCTGACAAAGCCCTGCTTCTTCTCCTCCCCCGAGGAAAATTCTACTTCCTCTCCTTTCTTCAACCGATCCAAAATGTCTGTCATTTCTTCCTTCAATTGGTTGTCTAATGGCTCCAGCTCCTTCATCAACTGTCGACAGAAAGATAATGGTTAAATAAGCCTGGATAATTAATTTGGGACTTAATAACTGTCAAATGCTTGAATGATAAGAATGTGCATATTTGGTACAACTGTTTGACACTAACATCAATGTCTGGACTATAATATGGGTATGACTGTTGGACTCTGTGCAATGCGTTGACAGTTAATTATTGAACTCCACCAGTAACACTTCAGCAATACTCCTATTTATCAATTTTTCTGTAAATGGACAGGCAAAATTTGACAAGTCAAACCAGAACCATACACAGACCCATCTGAACTCTTTATGGAGATTCTACCTGCTAGGATATTTGGTCTCTGTTGAGCAATTCAGTTCACTTACACATTTACTTATGGTATGTGTTAATGCTTATATACAACTAAATCAAACTTTCTATACAAAACTTAATCATATTGTTCACACATTTAAATTTAAACTGTTCTAACAAAATTGAATAAAACAGTTCACTTAGATAACTGCATCAATCTGCTCATAAATAGCTTTAATCAAATTGTTCTCATTTAACTAAAAAACAAACTGCTCACACAAACTAAATCAAACAGTTAAAAAACAATTTAATCATTCAGTTTTTCATATGGTAACTTACATTGCGGTACTGTACGAGGCGCTTGATCACCGGATGGTTATGAACTGCAATTTGTTTTGATTTCATCATCATGTAGAAACTGATATTGGTACAATAACTGTGGAGAGAGAAAATTAACAGATTAGAACTATTCCTTTTCAGACTCAAACCTCTGTTACTGCTCACTGGAAGTAGGCACAAATGTACTAATTTAACAATATTTATGAAACTATCACACTGTTGTGACAAGTATTGTACTTGTGAAATCAATGAATTTGTGTACACACAGTATGGCTGTTAATCACCTTCAAACACAATACGCTGAATGTATTCTATCATTACTTTTATATAGCTATATAATAATAAGAAAGGCTGAATACCTTTTTGTGTCCAGAGTAATTTCTTTAAGATCTGAATATTTTACTTACATTGATTGTATATTTTATAGACTAATTCAGCCTATAATTATATGTACATAGAACAACCAATCAGTTACAAATTGCTTTGTCCCTTATATATGGATATATACACAAAAATGAAATTTTAAAGAAGAATAGATTACGACAAATTGTTTTATATATTTCTAAATATTAATAAAGCTTACTTTAGGTGAAGTTTGGTTTTAGTCTCCACATAGTCTCCAGCTTTTCCCTGGATCTTTCCCTCTCTCACCAGTCTCAACAGTGGCATAAAGATGTCCCTCACCTCAGTCATCTACACAGGAGTAACATACACAGATTTCAGTATAGAGTCTCAACAGTGACATAAACATGTCCCTCACCTCAGTCATCTACCCAGGAGTAACATACACAGATTATAGTATACAGTCTGAACAGTGACATAAAGATGTCCCTCACCTCAGACATCTACACAGGAGTAACATACACAGATTATAGTATATAGTCTCAACAGTGACATAAAGATGTCCCTCACCTCAGCCATCTACACAGGAGTAACATACACAGATTATAGTATAGTCTCAACAGCGACATAAAGATGTCCCTCACCTCAGTCATCTACCCAGGAGTAACATACACAGATTATAGTGTACAGTCTCAACAGTGACATAAAGATGTCCCTCGCCTCAGTCATCTACACAGGAGTAACATACACAGATTACATTATACAGTCTCAACAGTGACATAAAGATGTCCCTCACCTCGGTCATCTACACAGGAGTAACATACACAGATTACAGTATACAGTCTCAACTGTGACATAAAGATGTCCCTCACCTCAGTCATCTACCCAGGAGTAACATACACAGATTATAGTATACAGTCTCAACAGTGACATAAATATGTCCCTCACCTCAGTCATCTACCCAGGAGTAACATACACAGATTATAGTGTACAGTCTCAACAGTGACATAAAGATGTCCCTCGCCTCAGTCATCTACACAGGAGTAACATACACAGATTATAGTATAGTCTCAACAGTGACATAAAGATGTCCCTCCCCTCAGTCATCTACACAGGAGTAACATACACAGATTATAGTATAGTCTCAACAGCGACATAAAGATGTCCCTCACCTCCGTCATCTACACAGGAGTAACATACACAGATTATAGTATAGTCTCAACAGCGACATAAAGATGTCCCTCACCTCAGTCATCTACCCAGGAGTAACATACACAGATTATAGTGTACAGTCTCAACAGTGACATAAAGATGTCCCTCGCCTCAGTCATCTACCCAGGAGTAACATACACAGATTATAGTGTACAGTCTCAACAGTGACATAAAGATGTCCCTCACCTCAGTCATCTACCCAAGAGTAAAAAAACTTTATACAGTCTCAACAGTGGAATAAGGACATCACTCACTCCTGCTATATATATATATAAGGGTAGCATGCACAGATTACTGAAGTGTCAACAGTGACATGAACATGTCTCTCATCTCTGCCATCTACTGAAGGTTACATACACATACAACTGTCAAACCTTGTAAATCGTGACACTACTGTTCCTGAATAAAACATCAGGGTCATCAAGTCCAGATAAACAATACATTTTCATTGACATATATTTCTTTCTTTAACGCTTTACAAAAATGTCCACTTTATTGAAATCTGTATCGCAGGTGATACTGCATGTAAAGTTTAGAGAATGTCTATGATACTGGAAATATACCAATAACACTTGCATATATATATTCAACAGCAAAATCTTGCCAAAAAATAATCAAACACATCTTTCAAGATTAAAGGTGAAAACAATTTGGATATCTAATTAGGAGATCTCGTCACTGAGTGTTTTCACAGGAAGTACATACCTTGGATTTATAGTCATCAATCAAAGTCAGCATTTCTGGCGACTCCTTCTTCAAAAGCTGTAAAACAAATATTTGATGTAGTGTTTACTGATCAGCTTGATGAAGAAAATGTTCATACACAGAAATATAACCATCTTCCTGTATACTTCAATAGTTCTAATGTACCTTTAATGTATAGTAAATTACATACCTGTAATTTCTCCTTCCTGGACAGCTTTGTCAAGTCTTGTGTGATCTTTTCCTCCTCATTTTCAGCTTCCACAAGCTTCTTTTCCTGTAACAGCAAGAAATACAAACTCCACTTTCTGTCTTTGAATATACATAACAGACGCATTGAATTTAAGGCTCCTATTTAACATGTAGCACCCTTATACTTCAGTATTAAATTATGAATTCTAAACAATTTATAACCAATTATCTGTATGCGTTTATATAATGTACATATAAGTCTGTTATTCCAGAAATTAATGTCATGCTTATAATAAGGGTGTCCAGAGCACCCATTTTAATTTCAGTATTACATTCTTATTTCAAAATAATTCAAAACTCAGTTGTCTTTCTGCATGTCTACATGGGTGTGTTAGTTAGGTTGAGGTCTTCGCACAAGATAAGGTCATACTTATGATGAGAGTGTACACCATTGATGGGCCAGTGAAGGACCTGTTTATAGTACAGTGTACAACCATGTCACACTATTATCACCCTACATACCTTGAACATATCAAGTCCAAAGTCCTGATCATCCAGTTCAGCGTTGATACGTTTCTGTAGAGCTAATGCCTCTTTTTCCTCCAAGGCGGCCGCTCCTTCCTCATCCTCGGACCCAGAGAGGTCTACAAAATAGGTTATAAAGTTATTTTGGTTACTGAATTAAAAAGATAAATCACAATATCAGTGATTTAGATACACCATTAACATGGCATTGAGCTAATGATTCTTGAATTAAATGAGACCTGGTCATCTGTATGTTCATCCTCATCTATGTTAACAATAGATACAGAAAGTGGTTACTTACCAACATTGTCGTCACTGAAATCTGCGTTGTAATAGTCTTGCACCTTCTTGCCGTACGTCGTGTGATCAGGCTCCCCTGTAAGTAACAAAACAAGTGTTTAAATGATTGAATAATGAACCTTAAAAAATATTTTCCAACAAAATAAAGTATATCGAAGATCTATTAATACCATTGGCACACACTGATTACTATTAGATATTACACCTCAACTGTATCTACTCTATTTTCAAAGTAACCTAAATTGGCTATATTCTCATTTTTGCCCCGACTTAACCGGTCCTCTATAAGCCTTGTGTCGGTCTGAAAACAAAACTAATTCCCTCAGCAGTTTCTGTAACACCTTCAAAGAAATGGCAGAGCAAATCTGGTGAGAAGTGAGGTTCTCATGACCCGACGCCTTCTTATTGCTACGTACACAAGACAAGGCATGCATTATTCAAAATATATAAAGAGAGTTTTTGATAAGTTTTATGGAAATTGGGGTTGGACTATTGCTTGACCACGCCTATTTTCCTCCACTTCATCTTAGAAAATATACCTGAACTAAAAACTTGCTATCTCCTTGAAGCCAATTCTTAAACTGTTTCAGCTGGAATGTCACCTGGAATAGATACTGTATCATGTATATGATGATCCACACCACAAACTGATGGACCTGTAGTTACCTTCCTCATCCTGGTCTTCCAGGTCACTGCCCATGTCACTCTTCTTACGGTTCAGTTTTATCCTCCGCAACTGTTTCTTGTAGGCTTTGAGGTCATCATCACTCAAGAGGTCATCATCGCTGTCACCACCAACACCGAGAACCTCACCCTATAACACAGGGACTTAGAAATCAGTAATTATTCCCTAACTTTTAATCTGCGGAACTTAATCCCAAAACACAGGGACCTAGACATCTAACTGTTCCCAAAATCACTACATCACAAAACCGTAGCCCATTGCACAAGGACATTGAACTCTGCCGTAATTCCGTAAATTATAACACCAAGGAAAATCATCCTATAGCACAAGGACTTAGAAGCTTGTAACTCTTCCACAAATGATAACATTAAATATCTTTGCTAGGTTATATAGGCACAAGGGAGTATATGTAACTGTTCTTTAAATTAACATGCCACAGACCCTCGTTCTATTACATTGGAACAAGAAAATGTGTATTTATTGCTTACAACACCATGTGTAACTCCTCCATACAATATTAGATTCATACAGTTCACTACAATACCACTGCAAAAAAGATGCAAGGACTATAATAAACATTTTTGACTGTGAAATGTCAATGACTGCTGCATATCTACCATGTAATGGATTGTCTAAATGTAGACTACAGTACACTCTCTCTCTAAACTAAGCCAGATTTTTTTTTTTATTAAACTAGCCCAATAAATTTCAGACAATGATAATGTATACCATGTAGGTTCTCTACAATCTTGAACTCTCCGCAAATTGGCCAAATTATTTGTGGCCACAGGGGTGTTCGGTTTAGACAGCATGCCCAGTATTATATTTATTGTATGGCACAAATGGATATGTTATCCGTTGATCACCAGGGCAACTGATCATGAAGATGAGAACAAGTAGGACAGTCCTCTGTCAAAAGTTATCTATTTTTAATACCTCGCTCTCCGAGTCCATGTTTTCATCATCCTGCACTCCTTGGTCCAGTAACATCTGAAAATCAACAGCACACATTTTAACACCAGTTAGTGGGTATGGGGTTGGAATATGTCAAATGATGATGAAAAATGGCTAGTTTTTTTAAAAGACAATGTTTCAAGTAAAACTTCAAAACCTATCAATAAATTACTGGTATAATTACCTAAGTATTAAAATACATTGTGGTCTATACTAGCACTTGTCACTCAATCAAACCCACACAAAAATAATCCAATCTAGACGTTTACCTATCAAATTTGACAAGCAATTCCTCATATTTTGTCATTCAGACTGTCAATTTTAAATTACAGCAGACTCTATCACATGGTGACTTGGTCTATCCTCAATAATGAGGTAAAATGCTTCACTGCATATGAATCAGATGTAAAGAAACAACCAGGTAATGTGTTATCATAACATGTTAATTAACTTATCCCTTTTTACCTTTTCTTTTTGCATATGGAATTTGTCAACATCATCGTAGAAGTAGTCATCATCATCTTGGTCTGGCTCAGGATCCTTTTCATAGCGGCGCTCGTCATCAGATCCATACACAGGTTCTACCACCTGCACCCTCCCTTTACCTCTGAAATTATGTTTTAATCCAATATTAAACAGGAAGAAAAAATCACATGGACCACACAAACTAACATACTAAGCCACGTAAGTGGAACTGGGCATTGATATATAGATTGAGTTAACCAGGCTTTAATTTCATAAAGTCATTGATTACCTACTTCTAGCATCCACCTTAGATCCCACCCGCTAATGAGGGAAATGGTGCACTTAAACTTATACTGAATGCTGATCCACCAGTAACCGGTCTTGCACTCTGGTTATCGTTTTGATAGATTGAGGTATTTCACTGAGAATTGGGACAAATGAGCACCGGGTATGCTTTCGTTATCAACGACCCACCAATCCAAAGTCACGGTACGGAAAATGAAAGGGTAAGACAGTTTAAGTCATGAGTTAAGTCGGCCCGCTTCAGTAGACCCTAGTGTCCCCAATGAAAAGATGAAAACAAGCGGACACTCCGGCGGCTGGACAACGAAGAATATGCTCCTACAACATTTCATAAGCAAACCACCCCTGATATTGTTGACAAAACCATTTAAACGTGTCTTTACATTATTACTGTGCTTCATACTTACTTTTTAGGCATACTGATTCTCGGAGAACAGCTGACAGATATCGATGGTGTTTATTTCGCATCCACAAGCACGTTGTACACCATCGGAACACCTCGTACTTTTAGAATTCAGATAGAAGATACCGAAAGGTTAAAAGGTAGCACACCACCATTTTTATATTATCATTACTTGCTTTTTTTGTCGATATTTTAAAGTAGAAATGAACGGAAAATTGACATCAAAGCAAAAAGAGTGAAGTTGTAAAAGACCCATTTGAAAACATATCACATACTTTTGGAGTATGTTGATGCAGAAAATTATTTTTTTACAAGCAAGAGGCCCAGAGGGCCTGTATGAAAAAATGTAAAATACTTTTTGTAACAAGTGAATACATAAATATGTCTTTAATAAAAAGCAAGAGGCCTAGAGGGCATGTATCACTCACTGGATATGTATTCAATCATTGCAAAACATCACTATCAAAAGTAATATTGCTTATAATTCCATATTTTGGGTCATGCAGGCCTCTCAGCATCCAGGGGGAACAGCTATGAAACAATTGAATCCCAGATTCCAAGGTTTCTTTGTAGCAAATTTGGCTAAAATATGATCTAGAGGACCCCCATTTAGTGATCTTTGTTGATATATATGCAGCAATGAATTCCATGGTCCCAAAGGTCAACGTTAAATACTTTCAGTTTATCATCAATATATTATATGTGCATATGATTATATTGCCAGGGCTATGACCAGGCCCCCTATGGAGCTAAGGCTTGTAGCATCTTCATGCCAAGCACGCAGTTATATGATTACACACTACACACTGAGGATCTCAACTGTTCCCAGCTGGGCATGCTCCCCACTCATAGGTTGAACTCCCTTGGGCCTATAGGCTACTCCAGGCCATTTAATGGTACTGAAAGAGTAGGTTTGAAGATGTATCCCCTATTAAACACTACTCCTCTGCCCCAAAGATAGAATTTTGGTTTGGTTTTATTTAGTTTAACAAATCCTATTAACAGCTAAGGTCATTTAAGAATGCAAGAATTATAATTCTACTTTTTGATCCCATCTCTATGCCCCAAATTAATACTTTATTGTTTAGCATCATGCCCTTGGCCTGATCAAAGACAAAATACACTGATTCAATCAGAACTAGCAGTGACTTAAAAGAGTTGAAAGACAGATGACAGACACTGCACCATTGGCATAAACTTCAGGCCAGGTGACATATCTAGAACTTGAAAATTCCATTATTCAGTTGATAAGATCACTGCATAGTAGAGCATAATATATAAAATGTATGTCCAAAAGGTGTTATTGTTGAAATGGAAATACAGGTAACCAGTCACTAAAAAGATTGCTGTATTTGTAAAATATAAACCTTTTAACAATAGCACTTTCAAATTCAATTTCAGAGAATGTCTTTTTCAAATCAGGAGCAAAATGTCATACTTCTGATGCATTCTTGCGGAAAAAAAGATATCAAATGATGTGTAATGAAGTGCTATAAAACTACATTTGCTCTTTATTGCTCCGACAGTGAAAGTGAATGCATCCTTTTATCTGTTTACAAATTTGTTATATAAATTGTCTTCCTTAGCCTCTAAAGATGTTTCTACATTTTAAGTGGATGACAGCTGGACTTTTATTTGAGTAATAGAACTAAATGCAGGAGTCTAACCAGTTGTTGCATGGACGAACGGACATACAAATCAATTGTGGTAAATAGAAACACTATTTTGGTGGGGCCAGCTCTGATTTTTTTCTATTGTGGTAAAAAGAAACACTATTTTGGTGGGGCCAGCTCTAATATACATTGTTGTATATAAACAGCTGCTTGCGATCCAGTGAAATAGATAATATAATTTATTGAAGGTACTTCACAACGATTCTCTGTAATTGACTCATTTGCCTCCTGTTCACACAAATAGGTTACGTGTATTGCAATCATCAGTTGTATTAGAATGTTTGAGGTAACACATCACTGACAAATTCTGCATTTTAAAAATGTCTAAGTATGCTTTCTAACATATCTAAAGGGTTTCCTTGGTTGATAACGTAAATTATAGCATCACCCTATGAATCAACACGTAGTGTAAGCCATCACATTGTATCAGGATTGGTAACATATACCATCAGGCTGCACTGTAACAGGCTATTTTCTAATTAATTACATTTCAATAATTTTTAATACATTAACTTTCTCACGTTAACAAACAGAAGTACAAACATAAGAAAGCTTCAGATTGATAAACAGTGCAAGATGCCATCATTTTCAAGATCCATATCTAGCAAAGAAAATAGCACAATGTACAAAATTTACTCTCATATTAAAACATTTATTTCATAATTTTGATATTTCCATGTACATGTATTGATACATTGAACAGAACTTTAAGAGAACTGTTTAAAATATAACTACCTTCCATGAATAAACATGTAGTATGGAGAGAAGCCCAATAATCAAATCTTTTGTATTTCTTAGATAATCCAAGTTTAGGAAAGAACACATTTATTGAAATAAAACACTTTGACATTTTCTGTTTTACTAAAATTATATATAAAAGTCAATTCATCTTGTGAAAAATCATCCTGTAAGTTTTACTGTCAATTCACAAGTTTCATCAGAAAAATGACATTTCAAAATATTTATGGAAAACATTTTTTCACTTTGTCACTGGTAAGATGTCACCTGTCATATGGTTTGCCTATTCATCATCTGCCATAGTTTTTCTGTCACCTACAAGCCTCATGACAGCATGGTCTGCATGTGACCTATACACAATTTCAACAGCCAGGTGATAATATGTCTTAATTTCACTAGCACAACATGATAATGTAAACATTATTGGTACAGAATCCATATGTATGCAGTTCCATTGGTATACAGTCTCAGGTGTATGCTGGTCCACAACTGTACATGTCACAATGATTTTGGGTCCAAACACAGGTCACTTGGTCCAACTCACTTTAGGAATATCAAAATGTTCCGTCATTGCATCCAAATGACTGTTGAATAACTGGAAAACAGACAAGAACAGTTTAATGATTGCCGTCTACATCATATCTAGACTACACATAAGATTTAGCACTAATAGAAACACAGAAATATTCATAGCACTATAAAAAACAAGAGGCTCATGGGCCTTAACGGTCACCTGAGTCTATAGTATTTATTTTTGTTGTTGAAATATGTACCAATTTGAGTAAAAAATAGTATAATGTTAACTTAACTTTGTCAGGACCATGAGCTGATCATTCCTAGACCAATTTTAAGTGAGATCGGCCTATTAGAACTTAGTAGCAAAATAGCAGCCATGGCAGCCAAATTGTATTTCTGATTGACCCGAAAAATAACAACACTTTGTCAGGACCATGATTCGATCATTCCTACAAAGTTTCAGTTCAATCGGCCAAGTAGATCTTTACTTTAAGTTTGAAATAGTTTACCAAAATGGCAGCCGTGGTGGCCATATTGGATTTCTGATCGACCCGAAAAATAACAACACTTTGTCAGGACCATGAGTCAATCATTCCTACAAAGTTTCAGTTCAATCGGCCTAGCAGAACTTGACTTTAAGTTTGAAATATGTTTTCAAAATGGTGGCCGTGGCGGCCATATTGGATTTATGATTGACCTGAAAAATAACAACACTTTGTCAGGACCATGAGTCGATCATTCCTACAAACTTTAAGTTCAATCGGTCCAGCAGAACTTGACTTTAAGTTTGAAATAGGTTTTCAAAATGGCGGCCGTGGTGGCCATATTGGATTTCTGATCGACCCAAAAAATAACAACACTTTGTCAGGACCATGAGGCGATCATTCCTACCAACTTTCAGTTCAATCGGTCCAGCAGAACTTGACTTTAAGTTTGAAATAGGTTTTCAAAATGGTGGCTGTGGCGGCCATATTGGATTTCTGATCGACCCGAAAAATAACAACACTTTGTCAGGACCATGAGACGATCATTCCTACCAACTTTCAGTTCAATCGGCCCAGCAGAACTTGACTTTAAGTTTGAAATGTAAAATGTTAACGGACGACGGACGACGACGGACGAAAACGGATAGCAATAGGTCACTTGAGCTAAAGCTCAGGTGACCTAAAAATGTTATTTTAACAGATGATATGCATGTTTGTCATGTTTTATATTATTAGATAATGTGAAGTGTTACATAATAGTGTAATTACCTCATTCAGAAAGTATTGCTCATTCCATCCATCATATATGGTTTTGTTGATTAATTTTTCTGTGTGTCTTTCAGCAAATTTTATTGATAAAAGATTAATTGTTTGAACAACAGACATTGCCTTTATAAATTTTCAGTAATGAGGTCATCACTTGATATTATCATCGCCATTTATTTTTCTAAAATGTTGTTAAACCAATTTCTGACATTGCTGGAATTTTTTGTGTTCAAAACTTAGATTTTTTAACAACAATATACTTTACTTGAATACTGTGAGTGAAAAAAAGGTATATTGTGTTATATAGTGGTGTTGTTAGAATTCAAGAAAGTGCTGGTTGAATGTTTAGATACACAACTATACACACCTGTGTGTGTCAAACTTACCATGATACGTTCCTTGTGAGTTTTACTGGCTTTATCTATGATGAGCTCTGCTTCCTAAAATAAGAATGAAAATTATTTTACCATTTTTTAAAATTAATATATATCATAAAATTCACCAACATAATTTTGTTAGTAGGTTATATTATGAAAGGCAAAGGAAGGTAGTAAACAATGAACAGAAATAACTATACCAAAATAAACTTACAAAATTGTAAAACAAAGGGATTGATGACATACATCATAATTCACAGGCTGCTCTCCTTCATCTTTTACAGGGTGCTTTGCATGCAGACGACTCATTTATGACAATATTTAGGATTTTACACATTTGGTCAAGTCTTCAGTAAAGCAGTCAGGTAATGCTGAGCTGTTTGACTGATCCCAATGGAAACATCCATTTTAACCGCAGAGATTTGGGACACCATATCTGTTTGTGATAAGTAAACTTCAGTTATCTAAAACTGTAAATAAAAATATAAAGGTAGGCAAATTTACCCTTTTTTCTCTTGCTCCATCAAATGCTTTTTCTGCTTTTGTCCGTTTATCTACCGGCTTTGTCTTCTTTCCATCTTCCTCTGAAGACTTTGTGTTAGAGACCTGTTCATACATTTTCATAGCTTCCCTTTCTTTGTCCTTCTTTTTCTTTTTCCTAGAAATTATTGATAGCAAAATATTACTGTGAACAAAACTACATGTATCGCATGTAAAATAAAATCTATTTAAATTACCTGGTAATTGAAATATAATTTTTAATCATGTTTTTTCTCCAATACATTTCCATTATGTATTGGTATACCAAAGGAAAATCACAAAATTTACAGTATGGTCTACGAAATCTAATGGACAGGCATCATATAATACTAATTGGGTGCACATGTCCAACAAAGTGACAAAAACCATTTTGAAAGAAAATTAATTAACACAGAATCCAATGATGAAATGATGTTACAGGAAAGACCTTTGGCATGTCACTGTTTAATATGTATGGTCAGCTGGTATATCTGACTATGTTATTTTGGACATGTAAACAACTTTTTAGTTGTGTACTCATAACTCTACTATTTATTGGTAATTTCTGTCTCAGGAACTAGTCACATAACACTACTGTTGATGTGGTTTGATATATTACAGTATGCAAATTAAACACAGGTGCTGGACACACAATCCTGTTTGCCCCGTGTCATTATGCACTAGGTTGTTTCGCCCTTAAATAGTTATATGGTTAAACTTTTCAAGCCAGTTTAGTTGTGTATGGCTAAAATTGCAGCCTCCTTTGAATTTTCCTAAATTTTTCTTAGTCATTTTTGTCATTACACTCTTATGATTCGTACATGGTCGACCATAGTACTAACATATAAAAAAAATGTGTCGTCATTGCTACATTATTGCAGCTAGGAGGTCGACCATATCAGATCATCTGCACGTAAAATCCATCTGAAATAGATTCTGTCAACACTATATTGTTACGTAAGGGTTTTAAAGTTACATTTTGAATGATATCCAAGTCATAACTCGAAAATGTTTATTTACAATAGAGGGCGAAACATTATTGGGCAAACTGGATTTAGGGCGAAGCGACATGTAGTGCAAACAGGATTTAGGACGAAACAACCCAGATTTGACACACTGATATATACAATACTGTTAATGTTAACCCTTTCAACCCTAGGTAACTTAAGTAGACTTTACCATACATTGATCTGGATTAGTCCATTATGGTCTACATTGTTAAATGGGTTACCTCTGGTCAGTGAGTGTGTATGCAAATTGCCTGTTATCATGAATATGGTTAACAACCAAATCCAAGTCACACATAAAACATATAAATCTAGACACTCTAAAAAAATTGATAAATTTCATTTGGTATTGTTCTATCAAAATAAAACATCTGTGAAGGGAATGATTACAGATTGTTTACTGCTGTCCCCTATGCCTGGAGTCGCACAACGGTCCGCCTAAATACTAAGTCATAAAATTAATAAATAACTAAACCTCACTTATTAATTTTCTTATCCGATACGCCTTTTAGGTTCAGAGAACTTCTAGATACCGAATCGTACTCAGACATCGTCGGTCGCAAAAAATATAAACAGGAAGTAGTGAATGAGTGCGCCCCCTAGTGGAGTGGATGATTTACGATAGGGAGCATCCAGTAATTATTTTGATATACATTATTAATTTGTCGTTTCAAAACATTCTTTCCTCTTCAGGGGTTTATGCTTTATTAGTTTTCTATTTTTCTATTTTGTATTAAGTTTTAAGGAAGGTATTTTTGTGGTATTATATTATAATTGACAATATTGTTTATTATCTCCCCTTGCCTGGTTGCTGACGTGAGGCGTCCCTGACATCGGGGAACATTGTGCAGGGGGTTGGTGTTGTTCATAATTTGTGTAGTTCTACTGTTGTTTATTTGAACTTGAAATCGTTTCCAAGTACTTAAATTTTCAAATATGCCACGAAGGGCTATGAGATGTTGTGTGGATCTGAAAATTAGAGCGGTAAGTAAACATAATCTTTCATGAAAAATATCCTTCCATGACATTAGGTGATAGGCTACTGCAGTAGGGCATGTCGTGTCTTGTTTATATAAGGACCCGCTTAACGGTGCCACCGTTTCTAGTAGTTAAATACATATTTTGGTATGTTGTTCGTTCGAAGTATTTAAGTTGAAGAAAGAATCAAATTTAATTATATTGTTTCTAAAAATAGATCCTAAAAACATTTACAATTTGTAAAATGTTACTGTTTTACTAGTTTGTGGTCAGTAATGAAATAAAGTTTCATCTTTGAAGAATTGGTATGCAACAGGTTGATGCATATCAATATGCAAATAAAGGTTTAAAAGAAATATATAATACTAGCTATATATATTGTTACTTATTTAAATGTCTGAGGGATGGAAAAGAGTGAAAATGAAAGTCAATCTGTTCAACTGTTTAATAACTTGTAAAGTGTTTAGTGCACAGACATGTATTTTTTTCTTTACTCAGGTGACAGCTCCTGGGGTTTGGTTATCTAGCCGGGAAGATGTCTACCTCAGTATATCTATGTTTGGTGAATACAGGACCACCAACCTTGTACCTTCTATTTTCCCCTTATTTATAAAGGAAGATTTAGTTTTTGATAAAGTAAGTATCATCATCACATTTTAATTAATTAATTAACCCTGAAGTAATTTATCAAAATCTTGCATTATAAACTTGATTTTTTTTATAAATATATCATCTTGATGTATTTATTCTATTTTGAATGTTGGAAAAATATAATGTTATAGTTTTTTTTCTACATTATTAAAAATGATCAACAACTTTGCATTTTCTATTTCACTCATTCATTTGCAGACCTACTACACAGCATTAGACCCTTCACAAGTGGCTGATTTCTTGGAAGGTAAGACCTTATTTTTGATGTAATCTCATCTAAGCTATTCAGTTATTTCATAAATGTAGAGGTTCAGAGGACTAAAGATTTTTATTCAACACTTTCACAAATGAGATTACTCCAACAGGATAAAGAAAAATGGGGAGAACCACTTGATCCAATTGCATGATCATACATGTATGGAAAATGAAATTTAAGTTAGGAAATTTCAAAATGAATGGGATAAATGGAATACATGTAGTACCCTCTGGAGCTCTGACGTTTACTTGGATACAAAAATGTAATATATATATATGTATATATTATATTCAATTGTCGTCTTAAGCCAAACAAGAAAACAAATCACAGTGTTACACTTAGTTAGAGTGTTACACTTAGTTAGAGTGTTACACTTAGTTAGAGTGTTACACTTAGTTAGAGTGTTACACTTAGTTAGAGTGTTACACTTAGTTAGAGTGTTACACTTAGTTAGAGTGTTACACTTAGTTAGAGTGTTACACTTAGTTAGAGTGTTACACTTAGTTAGAGTGTTACACTTAGTTAGAGTGTTACACTTAGTTAGAGTGTTACACTTAGTTAGAGTGTTACACTTAGTTAGAGTGTTACACTTAGTTAGAGTGTTACACTTAGTTAGAGTGTTACACTTAGTTAGAGTGTTACACTTAGTTAGAGTGTTACACTTAGTTAGAGTGTTACACTTAGTTAGAGTGTTACACTTAGTTAGAGTGTTATACTTAGTTAGAGTGTTACACTTAGTTAGAGTGTTATACTTAGTTAGAGTGTTACACTTAGTTAGAGTGTAACAAGTATTACTGGTTGGTTGATTTATCTTAAGATGCCACTATTTTGCAAATAAAAACATAAATTTCTATATATTTTTTCCTTCTTTTATATGCTTCTGTCTTTTCCATTTCTATCCTTTCTCCTTTTCTCGTACTATCATATATTTGATTGTGATACAATGTTATGTATTGTTAAAACATCTCATTAGAAAATCACATCGTGGTGTTACTGTTAAGGAAACAAATGGTGTCCTTGGTTTTCTTTGTCAGTTTATAGACCACAGTACGGAAGACTTCAGCAAATTAATGTGAACCTCCGTCATATCTAAGTTATACATTTCGAAAAACTGGTCTGTTGAACCTTTTTGTTGTATCACACACACAATTACAATACTAAAAACAAAATAAATGTTATTTCAAACTTTAAGACCATTTTTCTTACAGATGAGCTGGTAATAGTAGAACTATTACAATTGCGCGATGACTGTGACGGTGCTATTCGTCTGGCTTCCTATTCTTCAAATGCTCGTGACTTCCTATTTCCATACCCATCGTTAGCTCCTGCCTATGCCTCCAACACAAGAGAACTCCTTCTGGCTCGCACTATGGACTTCCCTGTGAGTAGAAACTTCCCTATATTACTGGCAAAAACTCTTACAAAGGGTCGCATGATTTCCCTGGCCTTTTAAAATTTTATCTCATTGTAAATAGAATTTTATTCATGAACGTTTATTATTTAAAATGACATCAATTTTTTTTTTTAATGTTTCAGTTATAATTCAGTTGATGTGTCTTTGACATTCTATACACTTATGACCTATATATTTATTAGTTCTCTATCCTCAGTATGGATTGTGACTTGTAGTATTTGAAATACAGTATTAACTTCATTTAAGCTTAACCTTCATAACAGGTCATTAAACAGCCTTCAAATGTTATAACCGAACAATTAACATAGCTTAAATAAAGTGAGTACTATTTAGTATACTTATTTCTATTTTGTTTGTTACACAGGGCATTGCACCCAAGCTGGAGTTTTTCACTGTTACCAACATCAGTGAATCTCTTTCCCCTGAGTTAGATGCTCTGGAGGACGCTCTGAGAGATGAGAGGGTAAGATACTTCTATCTAGTTAAGTTCTATCCCCTAGATCTAGGTTTAGATGAGACATTACTTTGATCTATGTAAATTATTGATATATACCTGTACTTTCTGTAAATTGCATTGATAAATGTACAGTGTAAAGTGTATTAACTGTTCAACAGATCCATACCTCCTATACATTTTTTTAATGAAATAAATACTACCGGTATCTGCTGATTAGACGTACACTTTTTTATTTATTTATCTCAGATTTTTTATTTGCATTCATAATCATTTATTTTGCACAGAAATCTAGAAGGCGATCTCGCTCAACATCACGACCATCATCAAGAAGCTCCATGAGGTTTGTCATCCATACTTGAGTTTTCTGCTTGTCAGGTTTAACTTTGTATCTTTGTATGCTAACTTTGATATAGAAGGAGTTTCTTTATATTGATCAAAGATGTGGCTTAATCTGGGTTAAAACAGGATTTTTTAAAAGTTGTATTGCTCATTTATTGGTTGATAATGGTTATATGTATCAGTTCTAAATCAACAAATTATGGAAAAGATTCATTACCTGAGTGATAAAGAATCTCCTTGTGCACCAGTTTGTTTTGAATCATATTACATGTACTGAGAGTGTGGCCACAATAACAATCCATTCACGTTGTTTTTCTGTAATAGTTCCATGTATATAAATATTGCATTGTATATAATATTTTGAAAAGTATTGAATTAATAAACCTACATGAATTTATTGAATTGAAGCAGATTGCTTGTTTGTTCAGTGAAAAGATCATGATATTATGTTTAATGGCTAATTACAATGATATGATAAGCTATTGATTAAATTTTATGAAATTACTTGTATAATGTGATAAAATACTTTATTCCTTTTAAGAATTACAGTTATGTTACATAATGTTAAAAAGATCAACAGCTCAGTCAGTGTAATACATTCTTAATTTTCACAAATTATCTTTTCTATCACCATTTATCAATATTTTCGTATAGCTAAGCTATTTAGCTTTTGCTTTTCTTCATGATTTTTGCATATTTTGCTTTGTTTTTGTACATATTTTCCTTGTTTGATGAGCTTGCTGCAGCCCTACTAGTCTTGTCATGTGACGTCCAACAACCATAAAAAAGACGAGTGTAATGTTGTCACGTGATCCTGGTCATAACAAAACATGTCATATGTGATGTTCATCGACCAAGTCTTGTCACATGATGTTCCATTTGTGTCGAGTGCTAGCGTGAACACCTATTTGGCTTTCAATATATATATATGATAACAAAACTTACTAATTCTCCCATGTAAAACCGTGGGAAAGAACAAGAAATTTGGATTTCCTATCATNCAACCTTCCCTTTCCCTTATTTTTTGTTAATATCCACTCTTCTCCCTCACATAACATTGTATACATACCCTCCTTAATATCTGACTATATGCACCTCTTTCTTAACCATTGAGTGGTAAGTAGCAAACTCTCTCATCATTTTCTTGTAAGGATTTATATTCATTTTCATTGATTGGAGAATACAGACATTTTGTTTGAAAAAACAAATGCAATATCTGTCAAAGATCTTCAAACTGTAAATATTAGCTACTCCTGCATTTACGCTAACAACTTTTAGATTTGCCGTGGGTGGTGGGTTACAGTTGCTCGTGGTTGATGATTCTTATCAGCTAATATATACCTTTACAACCTCTACTTACCTGATAATAGAAATAGTAATTATTTTCTGCATGTAAATACACTTTCATTTTCTTTTCTGTATTTCTTCTGTGAGGTGATATACAGCTTTCCTTTCCTGTATACATCATTCAACTAACTGACTGGGCTGTTCTTTTTACCTCCCTGTAGGACATACGTGGATGTTGATGCTGAGGAGGACCAGAAAAACTACCACAAGCCAACAGTTGCCTCTGTTTTTCGTTCTAGGTCTCCGTCTCCAGTGTACAGGAAGAAGCTAGAGCAAGTAGGAACAAGCAAGCGCCCATCCAGTGCCAGCTGTGTCGGACGACCTCCATTTGTAGTCAGACATGTTAGTACCTCAACTGTTAAACATTCAGATTATAGTGTACAGTCTCACCAGACCTGTCAGTACATCTAGTCAGACATGTTAGTACCTCAACTGTTAAACATTGTTCTATACTCCTCCACACTCTCCAGACCTGTCAGTACATCAACTGTTAAACATTGTTCTATACTCCTTCACACTCACCAGACATGTTAGTACATCAACTGTTAAACATTGTTCTATACTCCTCCACACTCACCAGACCTGTCAGTACATCAACTGTTAAACATTGTTCTGTACTCCTCCACACTCACCAGACCTGTCAGTACATCAACTGTTAAACATTGTTCTATACTCCTCCACACTCACCAGACCTGTCAGTACATCAACTGTTAAACATTGTTCTGTACTCCTCCACACTCACCAGACCTGTCAGTACATCAACTGTTAAACATTGTTCTGTACTCCTCCACACTCACCAGACCTGTCAGTACATCAACTGTTAAACATTGTTCTGTACTCCTCCACACTCACCAGACCTGTCAGTACATCAACTGTTAAACATTGTTCTGTACTCCTCCACACTCACCAGACCTGTCAGTACATCAACTGTTAAACATTGTTCTGTACTCCTCCACACTCACCAGACCTGTCAGTACATCAACTGTTAAACATTGTTCTGTACTCCTCCACACTCACCAGACCTGTCAGTACATCAACTGTTAAACATTGTTCTGTACTCCTCCACACTCACCAGACCTGTCAGTACATCAACTGTTAAACATTGTTCTGTACTCCTCCACACTCACCAGACCTGTCAGTACATCAACTGTTAAACATTGTTCTGTACTCCTCCACACTCACCAGACCTGTCAGTACATCAACTGTTAAACATTGTTCTGTACTCCTCCACACTCACCAGACCTGTCAGTACATCAACTGTTAAACATTGTTCTGTACTCCTCCACACTCACCAGACCTGTCAGTACATCAACTGTTAAACATTGTTCTGTACTCCTCCACACTCACCAGACCTGTCAGTACATCAACTGTTAAACATTGTTCTGTACTCCTCCACACTCACCAGACCTGTCAGTACATCAACTGTTAAACATTGTTCTGTACTCCTCCACACTCACCAGACCTGTCAGTACATCAACTGTTAAACATTGTTCTGTACTCCTCCACACTCACCAGACCTGTCAGTACATCAACTGTTAAACATTGTTCTGTACTCCTCCACACTCACCAGACCTGTCAGTACATCAACTGTTAAACATTGTTCTGTACTCCTCCACACTCACCAGACCTGTCAGTACATCAACTGTTAAACATTGTTCTGTACTCCTCCACACTCACCAGACCTGTCAGTACATCAACTGTTAAACATTGTTCTGTACTCCTCCACACTCACCAGACCTGTCAGTACATCAACTGTTAAACATTGTTCTGTACTCCTCCACACTCACCAGACCTGTCAGTACATCAACTGTTAAACATTGTTCTGTACTCCTCCACACTCACCAGACCTGTCAGTACATCAACTGTTAAACATTGTTCTGTACTCCTCCACACTCACCAGACCTGTCAGTACATCAACTGTTAAACATTGTTCTGTACTCCTCCACACTCACCAGACCTGTCAGTACATCAACTGTTAAACATTGTTCTGTACTCCTCCACACTCACCAGACCTGTCAGTACATCAACTGTTAAACATTGTTCTGTACTCCTCCACACTCACCAGACCTGTCAGTACATCAACTGTTAAACATTGTTCTGTACTCCTCCACACTCACCAGACCTGTCAGTACATCAACTGTTAAACATTGTTCTGTACTCCTCCACACTCACCAGACCTGTCAGTACATCAACTGTTAAACATTGTTCTGTACTCCTCCACACTCACCAGACCTGTCAGTACATCAACTGTTAAACATTGTTCTGTACTCCTCCACACTCACCAGACCTGTCAGTACATCAACTGTTAAACATTGTTCTATACTCCTTCGGATCCACACTCACCAGACCTGTCAGTACATCAACTGTTAAACATTGTTCAATACTCCTCCACACTCACCAGACCTGTCAGTTCATCAAATAGCTATTTATCACTATGAATGTTTATCTACATTAAAACCTCGATATAATGCCCCTTTTAATTTGCGACCTCCTTTACTGCCATGATTTGTTCTCTTTCTCATAAGAATGCCTTCATACATTTTCCCTCAATTTGTCGCCAAACCCCCTTATAATGCCAACTTTTCTCATGAAAATGGTGGCAGTATAACAAGGTTTTACTGTATTTTAACTGCAAAATTTGAAAACTTTACTTTTTGTTGGACATAAATATGTAATTGAGTTGTAAGTGAGGTTTTGCTCTAAGCTAAGTATTGTTTTGTCAAGATACTTATAATTTGATATTTGCTGATAATCTCATTATAGTTATGGTTTCATTGCAGTTCTTTACTCATATTTACATAATTAAATATATACTTATGATAACCTATTAAACACATCCTTGCCAAATATCCTGATTTTTTTTTTTTTTTTTTGTGTTTTTAATTTCAGCAGCATTTCCTAGCATATATTTTTAACTGAAATTGAATTCATTGCATAAACAATTCAGACTGTGCTATTTTTTAAACTTTTACAATTTTAATTTGTTAGATATTTTCATACATTTTTCGTTGATGCCACAGTTTCTCTCGTATGAAATCTTTTAAAGTTGTCAAGTATGCTTCAGTTAAGATTAACTTCCTTATATATGAATATTTGACCCCTTACATTATACAGCTGGAGAAAAGCCTGATCGGTCGTATCCCAGGAACCGGAGGACCCAAAACCAAAAAGAGTAAGAAAAAGGCCAAGCGTTCCAGCAGCAGACCTCGTAGTGCCTTGTCAGATACAGGTGAGGTCATGACACTGCTAAATTCTTGTGTCTGTCATGAATATCAATTTGGAATTTAAAATATGTTATTCTAAATATCTTGATTTTGAATATCAAAACATGAGTTCCATTTTGATGAATGATGAATGAAAAGACACTGCTCATACTGTATACTGGGAAACTTTTGCCCAATCCAATCTTCAACCTTCACCACTAGAATCCATATTTGCCCAGTTTTATTTTTGCCCTACACATATTATTATTACTGTATATGAGGTATCACGTGTACTAATATTCGCTGTCATCATAAATTCACCTTCATTGCAGAGGAAAAACACAAAAGTCAGATAGCAGTGAAAAGTATTCTCCTCCGATTTTAAAGACTGCTATGTAAATTTTGTTCCAGAATATTACAGTGATTACGCCTCCTACCCTGATGTCAACAAATACCGCCTAAGAAAGGTGATGCGGGATGCTGGAGATGATCCAATTCCTGTCTATCAGTCACGATTTGTTCCAAGCGACGATGAAGGTAGGTGTCCAGTATCTCTGCAGATTATAATATAAACAAGCAACTATCCCTGTACAAATCTGCTGTTAAAACTTCAAAACTTTCTGTAATAAAATGTGACAGAAATGCATGCAGACTATCAACAAAATTTTGCTGATATATGTTTATAACAATTAGAATGCATGTATAACAATATGTTTACAGTATTGTTATATTGAACAGACATTAATTAGTTAGTATATCAGTATGTCTACAGTACTGTTATATTGAAGAAAGATTAAATATTAGTTTGTTTACAGTATAGTTTATAATGAAGTGAGATAATTTAGAATCAGTATGCTTGCAGTTTTGTTTATACACACATGTACTGAAATAGGATTGGTTAGAATATCAGTATGTTTACAGTATAGTTTCTCCTGAAGTCAGAAGTTTTAATTTAAACATTGATTATCCAAGATATTACTGAAGTAGAAAATTAAAAAAAAAAAAACCCAGAAAATCTAAGGTACTGGTCAGTACAAGGTGCACAAACAACATAACATGTAAGAAAAGTTGTGTGATATTTGGAGATCTATTGATGAATTCCTTGTATGGCTTAATGATAGATGCTGAGGTCGCTGCCCTGACCCGCTCAGTAGATGACCTTTACATCCCTCCAAGGTCCCGCTCCCCCAGCCCCCTACTGTATCGGTCCACCCTGCGACAGAGGTATGGTGGCCTCACCCCTGCTGAGAGGATTGAACTGAGGGTACAGGAAAGTCTAAGGCGGAGTCGGGAGATCCTGAGGAGTGTGTCTCCTGTACGTTAATTACATACACCATGTAAAACTGACATTTCTTACTATAGCTGATAAGATCATTTTGCTCACTTATATTTATCAAAGTAAATTCCTGTACAAAATGCAGAGAATATTCTCTCAAAAATAGAATGTGTTCAAATGTAGAAATTTAAAGGAAAAAATATGTTTGTCATTATTTGTTTGAGTGAATTGTGGGATGTGCACCATGGCACACAATCATGTTGGTAGTCATTTATCTACATTTCTTTTTCTGTCCCAACAGGCTCCCAGAAGGTACTCCCCATATATATCACTTTCCAGGAACTCGTTGGATGACTTACAAATTGATACCAGCATTGTGAAGAGTCGGAGGTATTATTAGACGTCCAGCTGTGGGATGCTCCTAGTTTACATGTACATATCACTCTTTGTATTGTTCTGTGTCTGTCTGTCTCGGGGAGAAAGCCTTTGTCTGCTGTCTTATTTGTGTCTAACAAAATTAAAGAGTGTCTCCTAATATGTCTTGTGTGAAAAAAAATGAACATATGCAGATAGGACTTTCTTATCACAATTTATACTTTGAAATTTGAAATGAGCAGAATTTTATTAATTACACGCAAGTCAAGACTTAAATACTCACATTTTTTTTCAATTTGACTCTTTGAATGTTTGAAAACTTGTCAATGGTAAAAACTTATCAATGGGAAATGACCCACTATATGATTAACACAGATAACGTTGAGCTTTATAAACAATTTGATGTAACTGATTACATGTATTGGCAATGGGGAGGCTTAGTTATAACAAAAAACATGAGTTTGGATTAAAATATACAGTGACAGCTTGTAATTTTGTGTTTCAGTGGACAACTGCTTTTCTCTCTTGGTTAAATTCTTCTCTGTACTTTTTTGTTTAATTTACATTATTTTTTTTTACCTCTCTGTATTTTGAATTTTAGCTATACGCATGAATTTAGACTTTAAAATTTTAGTGGCTGCTTACGTTGAGATGTTATTTGCTATATTTGTTGGGGAGATGTTAATTTTGTTTTATAAAATATGCATGGTACATTGCATAGTGTTGGCATGTTAGACTTTTGCAAAAATATATACATCACTGCATAATAAAGGTACAAGTGTAATTACAAGATTAGATCTTGTATATATACAATTGAGTAAGACTCCAAATAATTCATACCTAGGGCAGGGTCAAAATACTGTCTAGGTCAAAATTACTAAATTGAAAAGAAAAGCATATATCGAGGAATCCTATGAAAGTTCATCTGTTGGTAAATAAACATATACAGGGTTGTTTTTTTATTACACTTTTGGATAATGTGACCAAATGTTAAAACATAATCATATATTCAGATTCCTCTTAACCAGGACTATTCCCCCACCTTTCACAAAGGAAATAGGCCAGGTCTCGGGGGGGGGGGGGGGGGGGGGGGGGGGGGGGGGGGGGGGGGGGGGGTGCTAGAAACTTGCTATATGCAGATAGCCTACACATTAACTTTAAATGATCATAATTCAAATCTGTTAAAAACAAACCCAGTAAATGGGTCTAAGCATTACAGTGGACCCTGATAATGACTTTATATATAGTACTTTGATGTTGTGTTATATGTTGCAGCCCGCGAGCCGCCGTACACCTGGACAACGGGAAATATTGGACAGACAGAGCAGCTCAATTTACAGCCAAGTCTCACCGACAAGTTTTCAACGATACCCTGAGCACATCATACCAGAAAATGTATAAGAACGCATATTAATTTGGGAAGAGAATTGTATTTAGTGTCAGTGGTCAGCATATACTGCCATTAGGGACCAGTGTCAACCAATCTCTGTGATATACTTACTGTACCTCAACAATTTTAGTGAGCTCTTTATTTATTGTAGAATTTTCTTAAAAATTAACCACTAAAATTACACACATGCACTTTATCATTTCAAAAATTAATGGAATATTTCAGAAAGCTTATCAAAACAAGTCTTCTGTAATTTCAGTAGATTAAACGATTTTGCAAAACTAAGTAACTCACCAATTTTGTCTGGCTACGGTAATATTTGTTTTTAATTGTATTTTTAGGTCTTCATGTTAGATAATTATGGTATTTAATCAAATAGTTATTTATTTTATGTATCATTTTATGAAATTTGTTGAAGGCAGTTTAAGATTTTAGATATCATGTCTACAAAGGAGTTTCAGTCTTTGCAAAAACTGCAAATTTTCCACAGCTGAGCTAGGGAGGATAAAAAAAGGCCTAGAAATGCATTACCTCAACCGAAAGTGCTGACATTTTTCATCATGACAATGTTTCTAATGTCAATAATCCTTATTAAAGTAGTTTTTTATGAATATGTATGTATGTATACCAAGGATCACGTTTATGTAGATTATCAAACACATTTTGTATATAAATTAAAGAAACACCAGTACCTTGTCTGAAAAATGATTATATTTTATGAAACTGCTAAAATCAAAAATATTTACTTTCAAAGAGAATAATCATAAAATATTATTCTCTGCATATACTTGATGTACTATTTTTTTCTCTGTATCAGCTCTTTAAACTTTTTTATTCTTAATGAATTTTTTCGTAGTTTTATGTTGTTTCCTTGTTTCTGTATTGTAAAATATTGGTATTAAAAGAAAGAAAATTAAAAAATAAAGTTTTTAAATCAGAATATGTTATTATTCTGTATACCCGAGGTACCAAATATCCACTTAAAGAAATCTGCATGAAGTTCGCTGTCTTCAAAGTCTTTGCCCTTTTTCCCTTCTGGTAATTTATAAGCCTTTTACAATAGTATATATATATATAGGAGAAAAAGTTGTGAATGTTCAGTTAGATGCAATGTTGTAAAATAAATTGTTTTCAGCAGGGAAAGTGTTTACTTTGTTAAATCCATCTGATTTACAAATATCTATTCATAAAAATATACAGAAAGTAAACGAGAATAATACATTGAAAATATTAACTTGAGCTGTCTTACGTGGAATATATCCATATATTTATTATAGAATGAGGCAAAGCCTCAGTGATACCAATACTCCGCCCATTCCGACCCGACCTGTGATTCAGTATTATGTTGTAGTCAGTGTTAGAGACTAACTTAGCAGGGTTTCCTTGGTAACAGATTTTTTCACAGTTAGTTATTTATTTGCCTGCCAAGGATAGATGCATTCATTGCAGCATACATCAGCACCAAGTTAAGCTAGATATTTTGTTCTGTTAAGTTTCACATATATTTTCACGGTAGAATCTCATTAGCCCTACAATTGTATTCTGCCCAAAAGACTCGCATTCCATTCAGTTGTTGTGAGGAAATGGTTAGGTGTTGAAGCAACGAATCCTGTTTCGTTACTTGAGGAAAATTATTACAGATTTTTACCTGAAGCCTGATGATTAAATGACCAGGATGTACCGTGTACATGTTGGTTGGGGTCAGTTTACTGAAGTAAATGTGTTGTTTGGGGAACTTTACCCGACATAACTGGATGCTGTTTTTATGTAACGTAAATGACGTTCAACATTAGTTAGGTTATATACATGGTTATTTTTCTAAAGGGAAATTGTGTTAAAAGTTTTCTCCATTTAGTACTGGGCTGTTCCAGAAGTAACTTTATGGGAGGGATGGGAGAGATGAGAGGCATTTTTTCTGAGGCTGAGCCAGTCATTGGATACTAGAACTAATTCATTATAAGGAATGGAAGGCAGACTGGCGTTTTACCCCTCCATTCTTAATAATATTGCTACAGGTGCCTCCCACCTCCCCTTATGATTAATTATGGAATAGCCCTTAACTAACTGTATGTTTATCACTCAAATTAATTTTCAAATCAATTCATCAGCTGTTACAATCAAGCAGTTGTCATGAAAACTCAAACTGGATTAATTTCTACTTTATGAGTTAGATTTTCACATCTGAAATTAGACTTGTACAGTCTGAACCGAATTGGTTTTAGCTGAATTTCAAATCCAGTCTTGCAGATTCCAATATTCCGTCTGTCAGATTAAACAGCTGTGTGCGAGGAATCCATACATACATTGCACGTTCTACACACCCCAGTGATTTTATGTCTAGTTTTATCTGTATTTGAATATGAAATTATATACATGTAATACCAAATAGAAAATAAAATATTTATACAAACATATTACCAGTTTGCTTGCTTTCTTTTAAGTAACCATGGTTATAATTTAAAGGGTTTTAATTGATGTCGTATAACTCGCTAGAACCACTACTAACTCAATCCTGAAACTACTTAACAGAAATATGAGGACTTCTTAAATGGTAATGTTTTGAACAATAATCAGAAAAATTGAGGCAAACTTTAATGTCAACAACTACATATGTATATAAAATCTGTCTGTTATTGGGATGATTACGACAGGAAAAATCCTACTGAACTTTGGACTTTAAATTGTCAGGAACAGGTATTATTTTAAGAGTTTATTTCAGAAAATTTAGATACAGAAATGAATGAAAGGATATAAATTGGTAATGAGAGCATTGTGATGACACAAAATCACGTTTGAAGACCACGTAACTGTCAGTGACGCTGCCGTTATGGATATAAATACACGGATATTACCAAGTATTTCTGTCATATGCACCAACTGAAGACGCGACGATCTGAACATAACCTTGGTGGTTCGTGTCGGGGTAGAGAAGGGCAAAAAACATAACAAAAACAGAATGGCTTGTTAATGAATATATTGAATAAAATGGATATGTATTTTAGTCAACGAAATATTAAAATAATTCTTAGGTACACAGAAAAAAATCATTACAATACAAAAACCGTCCACCTGGAATACGACAGATAAATAATCACAGAAACGAGCTTTGGACTATACTAGTTCTTCCTACATATTTACCTACATCAAGGATAACACAGTATATATCACAAGTACAGCAGAAAAAATAGGCACCCTTTGATCTATCTGCAAGTTCGATTTCTGTATTAAAAAGAGGCATTTCGTCAAAATAAGCATGTTACTTGTAATTTTTTAAACATTTTTGAGATTCACTGTAATTGGAAATCTGAAGGACAGTGTTAACACTGCTTCAATGTCTTCAACCAAACAGATTAATACTTAGGTATACAATTTATATCAAACAGGTAACAAGTTATACATGTATATGTAGACTAAAAAAATCATCAACAAGGCTAATATAGTTGATCATCACTACTGTTTTCTAGCCTTATAAGCTTGTGGCCTTATATTTCTTAGTCTGTATATCTAATACTTCACAACTACATTTATGTATCATTAATATGCAGACTGAAAAATCAACAAGGCAAATATAGATCATTGCTAAAACGTTAGCAGTGATAAACTATTTTTCCTTGTTGGTTTGTTTTGTCTTCATAACTAAACGATACACAAAGTCATTACGAGATTGAACTATATATAAAATCATAGGGTATACATATATAATCATACGGAAATTATATCATTGTAAAACATCCCAGACAGAGATTCAGTATTGTAATACTATATATTATAAGTAAAAATCATAAAATAGGAAAAGAAAAGAGGCAAGAAATGTAAAATGGTAGCCTGTTCAACTGATGTTACAAGAGTTCATACTCAAAGCAGAGACTGAAGGGGTTTGGTTCAGTCAGTTATCCAGCTTAATTCAACCTTTCTGGTTTACAGAAGTACACTGAACCAGATATACAACTATTTAGTGCAATGAACAATTCAAAAATGATTTAAAAACATCTACATAAGACTGATTTGTTGGCACATCTAAATTTGAAAAATAAAACAAAAAGACATGCTACTAAAATCATTGGCATATTACAAAATTTTGATAAATTCCAGAGATTCTGTTCAATAAATAGGTATATTAATTAAAGGCTAATTTCATCCTCAGAAAATCAAAGTGTATAATTAACTAGTGAATTCTTACAAATATATATGATAGATAAACATGTACATGTTCATCTTACATCAGGTTCCAATAAATATGTTAATTATATAAATATGTTAAATATTTTAAATCCTATTATGGATTGGAAAAACCTGGAAAACATTCCAGATGTCAATTCTGTACATTATAATAAGGCACTGAGTTAGGTTTTCCATTTTAAAGATAATAAATTATAGAAAATATCACTAAACTAGAAAATCTATATTGGGAAAAAATATCAGGACACAATCTAACTAATATGTGTATGCTGGTTTAGTTGTGAAATTAATACTTTTAAAACATGTTTGTGACTTCTACTACTAACTTTGCTTACTGCTCAACATGCAGCATCAGATTTAACTAATCTCCTGACAATGATCACCCTCAATTTGACTAGTTTTTTATTTTTTAAAACAATAGTGTTTTTGTTCCCGAAACCTTTCATGGTTACTGTAAACATTTACCAGATGTTTATTTTACCAATACAGAACTACTTGAGGTAGATCATCAATTATATTGCAGTTAATCGAACTGAAAAAGAACAAATATTTCATCCAATATTTTGGAGACAAAACAAACTCCAAACTGACCTTAATTCCTTATACACTGTATTAGACAAGTTGATAAAAATGTTATTTCTCATAACAAATATTTTCACAAAAACAATTTATGCTCCTGGAAAAAGTATTGTCATTCTCTAAAATTTCCGAATCTATGCTAATTTCTAATGACTCAGTTTCTGATTTTCTTACTCACCGACTAAATGAACATCACAATTCACTGCATTGAATTCTAGTCCAAGGGAATAACTACAGGTCGCTACATAAATATTGACTTACAATAAACATGTTCATACCATATTTATCCAAAATGCCCAGGGGACCAACATACCGGGTAATCTCTGACTAAACGTCCAGTGTCGGCTTATTACAGGATAATGAAATTACATTTGTTGGCACTTCTACTAAACTGTGATAGATATGGATGATGTTGGTACATGAATGGGCTTATTGCCGAATAAAAACGACAACAGGCACTTACGTAATTTGACCTCTGTGCCTTAATTTTGTTGACAAGTGGACTTCGTAAAAAGATTCCAATACAACAAATTATGAACAAACGAGAACTGGGATCACTGTCTTTTTAGACAAGTCTTATAAGCTTCTGTTACAAAAATGTACAAAATTTACTTCCATGTACAGCCTAAACTCATCCTAGTCTCTAGGTAACCTAGTGATGAAACACAGAGACAAACTATCAAAGGTTTATTTCCCAGCATGCATTTGTTCAGGTGGCCAGATTGTAACACTGTAAAGGTCTGGGTCAAAGGTCTCGTCAACAGACATCTATGTACACAAAAAGGATGCAACATTGATTGATGACGACACATTCCAGTACTTATGTGGCAACTTCGTAATCTTAAGACAGCTAAATACACCATGGAAATATATTAATATATCTTATATACAGTAAATAACATATGCATAATAAATTGAAAAGAAAGAAAATATGTATCTCTGTGTGAAAAATATACATAATTAAATATATTACACAATTTATTTATTAGTTACAATACAAATTCCAAAAAATAACAGGACCCGAACCCTTCGTGGCCCGGATTGACCTTTTCATTAGTCAGATGATTCTTATACGGTATTTGGTAATCAGCTGGAAGACATCTTGTTTATAAATCACTGATCACTTTAGCAGATTAATATGACAAATCGTGCAAAGACAAGACAGATGTTAGGATATGTGATGTAACACAACATAAATACATCACAATCATTGGACGGAGTTGCATGTTTATATGAGCATCATAAAAAAACAAATATTAGAACGTGTTGCAGGTCACATGACCTTGACACATCACAATCATTGGACGATGTACCATGGTCACATGACCTTAATAAATAACAATCATTGGATGATGTACCATGGTCACATGACTTTGACACATCACACATTTTAGATTTTAGATGGTGTGACATTGTCACAAATGCTAATCCTATAATTGGGCAGGACAAGGTCAGAGGAGAATTCTCAAAAACCACAAAACAATAATATTTTAATCTATTCATCCACTGACCATTAAGGATAGATTTCAACACTGTATACTACCTAATCCTATGTAATTCTATATTCTGCCATTTTCTGGTCATAATCTCAATTTTTCCTTTTCAAATTTCTCCATATAAAGAGTGACCTAGTTATACATGTAAAAATAATACTGAACTACAACCACTATACATCTTACTAACTACATCTATATAAATATACACAATCCAATCAACAACAAAACAAACATCATTTATGGCTAATGGTTACAACAAAAATGCATTTGAAAACATTTCAGCACTTCAAGACAACAATAAATAAACACTGTTTCTAATGAATCTTACATAATCAGATGATGTCAAACAAGACAGTGGCTGATCTAACAAAAACATACTAGCTTGCGACAGAGAATAATCTGGTGAGGAATTCATTTCAGTTAAAATACCTAGGTAAATCCAGAACATGTTCATCAAAATTCTTATCAACTTAAAAAAAAAGCTGTATGATCAACAAAGCTGATTTTTTCATATTTAACTACCTAGATACAAGGAATTGGTGCTGTTTTTTCAAGAGAAGACAACTATTACAATTTTCCAAAACAAAACTAGTACAATATATGTATAAACAGGGAAGGAAAACATTAAAGAACGCCATTTACACCGATATTATTACATGTAACTTATAATTTGAATGTCAAGAATCATGACAGAAAATGAAGTATCAACATTATCTGTTGTTACAGTATGTGTATGTATGGAAACTGGTAATAAATATCAATTACATTTTTATTAAATATTTGAACAAAGATCCAAACCCAGTAATAGTTTGCTATAATAAATCCTTACAGCCTTGTTACTAAGGGTTGTCGACATTAGCACTAATAGATATTAACATTTATTACAGAATAAAAAAATCTTATTCAATGCAATAAGTTAATATGAGAGTCATAATGGCAGGGTCATCATGCGAGTCAATTGTAATGTGTGTTTTATACAAGATTATAGTTGTGTCCGACTGTTAGATGTCACTGAGTAAATGTGATCATCCTGAGGAATTTGAAGGTGCAAGACAGTGAGAGGGTTGTTTTATGAGAGGGTTGTTGCATGAGAGGGTTGTTTTATGAGAGGGTTGTTGCATGAGAGGGTTGTTGCATGACAGGGTTGTTGTGTGAGAGGGTTCATGCAAGAGAGAGTTGTTGTGTGAGACGAATGTTGCATGAGAGGGTTGTTGTGAGAGAGAGGGTTGTTGTCCGAGAGGGTTATTTTGTAAAAGTTATTGTTTAAGAGGGTCTTCATGTGAGTGGACAGTTGCAGAAGAGGGTCGTTGTATTCGAGGTCCGTCATTTGCAAGTCATTGCATGAGAGCTGTTCTGTGTGTTCGATGTTTTAGAGGGTCGTTGTTTGAGAAGGTCATTGAAATACAGTAACAATGATTAACATTCTGTGAGACAGACAGATATTGCATGAGACATTTATGATAAATATTTTGGCAGCGTTTTAGATATTGATAAAGGCCCATTACCAATACATTGTAAACCTCACAGTTTTGTACCCTGATTAATATAACAGCACACAGTATTGTTACAGTAAATCCCTCCATCACCAACATTTAACTAACCTCTGTATCAATATCTGGCTTAAAGCTCTCCGACCAATACACACAAACACTATATACAACATTACCAAACTCTCTATGGTATATTGTTCATACATGTATTTCATTTATGTTCATGTATTCCAAGTCTAGTGTGTCAATTGGTTCTGTAAAACAGATTTACACATTTCATTATCAGCACACTTTGTCCATGTATATACTCTGTTTAGTCATTTTCCTCTTTCTTTGGAGTATCTTCTGGTTTTGTTTCATCTGTTTTTCCATCATTACCTTCATTATTTTCCACCTGATTCTCATCGTCCTTTTTATCCTCATCCTCTGTTTTTCCATCATCTTCCTCCTGTCTTTCTTTATTATTTGTCTCTTCTTTTGTTTCTGTTTCATCCTGATCATTTTCTCCTTTCTCTCCATCCGTTTGTTGATCCTCGTGTCCTCCTTCTGTGTCTTCTTCACCTTCTGCCTCTCCCTGATCTCCTTCTGTCAGTTTTTGATCCCCTTCTGTATCTCCCTCTGTCTCTCCTTCACCTCCTTCTTTCTCTTCCTGCTTTCCTTCTTCGGTCTCTTGTTGCTGGCTCTGTTCCTGTGTGCTCCTCCCTCCTTGATTTCCGTTGACATTAAGGTCAGAGCTGACAATTTCCACTTTTTCCATACGATCCATGTACAGCTCCAATTCCACCGGTTCTACGTTGTTCTCGTCCTTCAGCCAACTGTAAAACACCCATTTATTATCAGTTTCCTGCTATACACCCATTCTGTACAAATTACCCCCAAACCTTATAAATAAGCTGAAAATCATATTTCAAATATTTATCTTAAAGCATCAATATCTTATTTTTGATTATTTTTTTACCTTAGCTTATCATCAATGTATTTTTTGACACATTAAAAAGAGTAGGTCTCTCCAAAGACTTTTCTATCATAATGGAATGTAAAAATAGAACCAAAATTTTGTATAGCTCTGTATGTTGAATATATGCTATAAGGCCTCATTTTACCCTGTCACAGTGTCAAATTGTTTCAATGACTTGTTCAATATTTACCACTCAAACCAAAGTTACAAAGAAGATCTTTAGATATTTTTCTCTGTACAGATAAAAAGGCAACACAAATCACAGCTGTTTCTTATGCCAATGACTTCCTAAAGTCTGTGTTTGATAGAATATATACACTACAATGTTGAGCCTAATAATTAATAAATAACGAAGATTGATTTATCTTCTATATGTATTCTATAGGACTCAGAACTTACCTGCCACATGGAAACAAGTAACGTTTTTCTGCATCGTCAGACTCCATAACTGTGACCCTCTCCACCAACCAGGCAGGATCAGATCCTGAGGAATCATGACCAATGACGATGGTCTCTAGGCGACCAAGTTCTACAGCCTCCACTACAAAGGTGTCCACCTACAAGTAATAATGAGGACTAGCATACAATCTTCATAGATCATGAACAATTTGGAGTGGCCAGGAAGAGCTCGAATCTCGATAGTGACCATTTCAACTTTCATTTTGTGACTTTGATCAGATCATGACCTCAAGAGGTTGCATCTTTATCAGACCATTCTGAATAGGTTGCATCTTTATAAGACCATGACCTCAAAAGGGTGCATCTTCATCAGACCATGACCTTAAAAGGGTGCGTTTTTATCAGACAATGACCTCAAAGGGGTGCGTTTTTATCAGACCATGATCTGAAGAGGTTGCATTTTTATCAGACCATGATCTGAAGAGGTTGCATTTTTATCAGACCATGACCTCAAAAGGGTGCGTCTCTATCAGACCTTGACCTCAAGAGGTTGCATCTTTATCAGACCACAACCAAAAGGGGTTTCATCTTTAAGAGACCATGATTCACAAGGTTGCATCATTATCAAAATAGTTATTTTATAAAAAATACTTAATTACAGGATGATTTGATATTAAAGTGTGAAGTTATGAAATACTATGAATGCTAAACAGACAACACCTCATTTTTTCAAAGACCTCTGTCTTGGTGACCTCCCTGACCTATGACCTCCATGGACTATCATTTTGTAGGTTAAGTAGGTTAGGTTATCACTATAACCTACTTTGCCTTTCACCTTACCTTTCCTGTCTCGAAGGTGTTCCCACCTTCCCTGTTGTTTTTGAGGTAACGTTTGCCGGAGTCACCCAGTGTGCCGAACAGGTTGATGTAAACATTAGCATCTGACCCTGACCCAGCCTCATTCCCGGTCGTCGTCTGTACAACGTACTTGTTCACTGCAGAGAACACAAAGTCAGTCAGAAGTGTACAATAATACAGCACTTATTTACCCGATGTTGTGATATACCGCTGTATATCTTAAAAGAATCTTTATTAATACCCACTGTATTTCCTTATTTTCAATAAATATATACCGGTATTTCAATCTGTAAAATGGATCTTCATATACTGTACAGAAATTTATGTAAAATATTTAACATATGGATTCATCCAAAAATCTGTCTAGAAGTAGGTCAAAGTGTAACATAACTTTCCCCAATTTATCTCCAAAAAACAACTAATGTAATGTTAGGAGTTCAGAATTCACCAGTTATGGACACGAGTCAAATTTGTGATGTTAGGGTCACGGGTAAAGAAAGTAGATTAAATATTGGAAGTGCGAAATCAAAAAAGCATCATACAAAAAAATCTATTTGGTGCCATTTCCAGTAGTTTCATATTACAGGTACCTGAAGACAGGAAGTGAGTAGCAAATATAAAATTATGGATCTCCAGCATACATTTTTTAGAAAGAGTGATTACTATTACAGTGTAGCTAAAAATAGTAAACAAAATGATCTAATTTCCGTTCTGTACAAAGATGCGGTCACTGTCCTTTTCTGTCATTAGATTACAATATTTTGTATTATGTTTCTGTATGTATTATCAGAAGAAAATATCATTGTTGATGAAAAAACAATTGTTAACTGTTACATGTATTGTATATGTGTTACAATGATATACACGTACCAATATTAATTCAATGGTAATTTTAAATTTTTTACACTGTGCATTTCAATTTTGTTTCGAAAGGGACTCAAGACTTATGCTCAGGACACAATATTTTATAAAAGGGCAATACCTCTGTGCTGAATTTGGTACCCTGCACATTGCTTGAGTATGACTGATGTACAAACCAAGTGAAAGTTTCATGATCCTATCTTAATTGCGGGAAAAGTTATGCTCCCGACACAATGTTTTAACATAGGGCAACAACTCTGTAAATATGGGGTAGTGGACCCTTAATTTGGTACAGTGCACATCACCTTAGTATGACTGATGTACACACCAAGTTTCATGATCCAACCTTAATTGATGCAGGCAAAGCTATGCTCCAGGCACGACATTTTAGTAAAGGGCAACAAAGGGCAATACGTCTGTAAATAAGGGGTTGTGAGCCCTAAATTGTGCACAGTGCACATCACCTTAGTATGACTAAAGTACATACAAGTGAAAGTTTCATGATCCTATCTTAAATGCAGGCAAATTTATGCCCCGGACACAACATTTAAGCAAAGGGCAACAACTATGTAAATAAGGGGCTGTGGGCCCCTAATTTGGGCCAGTGCACATCGTCTTTGTATGAGTGATGTACACACCAAGTTTCATGATCCTAGCTGAAATGTGGGTAAAGTTATGCTCCGGACACGAAAAGGACGGACGGAAGGACGGACGAAGTGGCAACTAATGATCCACCAAAAATTTTCTCGTAGTACTATAATGAGACTCCTAACTCATTCAGAAAGATGTTATAAACCGTTTTTTCAACTTTAAGTTATTTATTATTCCTTGAGCCATATGTCTCACTGGTTCAAGTACGTATAAACAAATACACAACAGTACAAATTTACAAATTACATTTCCACAACATCTATTTCACTTGACACAACACAAGTGTAGACATTACATCTACACATTCTCTAAACGGAAAAGTGTTTTTCCTTTTTCCCATGAAAATAAACATGTATTTTAATAAAGAATTCGCCAAATTTCCTATGTCTTTCTTACTTTTTGTTGAGTGCAGCTCTGCTAGCTTAAATATAATAATTGTATTTCTAAAATAAGATGGTTTTACAGAAGATTTATGCAATGTTTTATAATAGGTGCACTTTAAAACAAAATACTATGAATCTCCAATATCCTATAGGTTACGAAGTGTATTTCTACGATCAATATTATAATATCTACAGTTTTTCTCTATTTAGCATCAGTTGTAATAATCTGATTCTAGCTATGCATTGTAAGTATAAATTATCAACTGCATTGTAACAAGGTGGTTGACTTTGCTGGTGGACTATCAGTCCCTGAAGTTGGCCGTTATATTGTAGTTACTGGTGGACTATCAGTCCCTGAAGTTGGCCGTTACATTGTAGCTACTGGTGGACTATCAGTCCCTGAAGTCGGCCGTTACCTTGTAGCTACTGGTTGACTATCAGTCCCTGAAGTTGGCCTTTACCTTGTAGCTACTGGTGGACTATCTGTCCCTGAAGTTGGCCGTTACCTTGTAGGGACTATCAGTCCCTGAAGTTGGTCGTTACCTTGTAGCTACTGGTGGACTATCAGTCCCTGAAGTTGGCCTTTACCTTGTAGTTACTGGTGGACTATCTGTCCCTGAAGTTGGCCGTTACCTTGTATAGTTACTGGTGGACTATCAGTCCCTGAAGTTGGCCGTTACATTGTAGCTACTGGGGGACTATCAGTCCCTGAAGTTGGCCGTTACCTTGTAGGGACTATCAGTCCCTGAAGTTTGCCTTTACCTTGTAGCTACTGGTGGACTATCAGTCCCTGAAGTTGGCCGTTACCTTGTAGGGACTATCAGTCCCTGAAGTTGGCCTTTACCTTGTAGCTACTGGTGGACTATCAGTCCCTTAAGTTGGCCGTTACCTTGTAGCTACTGGTGGACTATCAGTCCCTGAAGTTGGCCGTTACCTTGTATAGTTACTGGTAGACAATCAGTCCCTGAAGTTGGCCGTTACCTTGTAGCTACTGGTGGACTATCAGTCCCTGAAGTTGGCCGTTTCCTTGTATAGTTACTGGTAGACAATCAGTCCCTGAAGTTGGCCGTTGCCTTGTAGCTACTGGTGGACTATCAGTCCCTGAAGTTGGCCGTTACCTTGTAGATACTGGTGGATTATCAGTCCCTGAAATTGGCCTTTACATTGTAGTTACTGGTGGACTATCAGTCCCTGAAGTTGGCCGTTACCTTGTAGATACTGGTGGACTATCAGTCCCTGAAGTTGGCCGTTACATTGTAGCTACTGGTGGACTGTCAGTCCCTGAAGTTGGCCGTTACCTTGTAGATACTGGTGGATTATCAGTACCTGAAATTGGCCTTTACATTGTAGTTACTGGGGGACTATCAGTCCCTGAAGTTGGCCGTTACCTTGTAGATACTGGTGGACTATCAGTCCCTGAAGTTGGCCGTTATCTTGTATAGTTACTGGTGGACTATCGGTCCCTGAAGTTGGCCGTTACCTTGTTGTTACTGGTGGACTATCAGTCCCTGAAGTTGGCTGTTACCTTGTAGCTACTGGTGGACTATCAGTCCCTTAAGTTGGCCGTTACCTTGTAGCTACTGGTGGACTATCAGTCCCTGAAGTTGGCCGTTATCTTGTATAGTTACTGGAGGACTATCGGTCCCTGAAGTTGGCCGTTACCTTGTTGTTACTGGTGGACTATCAGTCCCTGAAGTTGGCCGTTATCTTGTATAGTTACTGGTGGACTATCAGTCCCTGAAGTTGGCCGTTACCTTGTAGTTACTGGTGGACTATCGGTCCCTGAAGTTGGCCGTTACCTTGTTGTTACTTGTGGACTATCAGTCCCTGAAGTTGGCTGTTACCTTGTAGTTACTGGTGGACTGTCAGTCCCTGAAGTTGGCCATTACCTTGTAGCTACTGGTGGACTGTCAGTCCCTGAAGTTGGCCGTTACCTTGTAGTTACTGGTGGACTATCAGTCCCTGAAGTTGGCCGTTACCTTGTAGTTACTGGTGGACTATCAGTCCCTGATACCTTGTTGCTAAAATTTAGTCTGGCAGGGTTTACAAAAAATACTTTTTTAAGTAGAAATGATCTGTTGTGGCCTAAAGGTGTAAATTTTCTATGTTATAAAGGAGTTTATATGCACCTTTTCCTCTTTGCTACATTCTACTTATGTTTCGAAAGACTTAAGACATGGATATGCCCCAATATAAATACGTACACATTTGTACCACACAAATCCTGCTCTAGTTTTTTTTTTTTTTTTTTTTTGGTTTACAGTACAAATACAAGTCAGAAGCTTATTAAGATGTCTGAGTCAAGTGAAGGTTGTTTCACCACCATGCACATATATATATATTACTATTACAAAGCCATTATTAAATATTTAAGGAAGCCACAACTAAACACAAGCAATCTTACCTGGCGCTATGAAGTCAAAAATCACAAGAAAACAAGAAAGAAAAATTAATACTTGATGAGAAAAGCCACACTAAAACTGACTGAAGGACTATTTCATTCTTCATTGTTGAACAAGGTCTGATGTCAAAGATTTTTTTACAAAGTAATCTTCATGGAGTATCGTCATCATCAAAAGGAGTGGAAGCTAGAGATTGTTATCATCACTGGCACTACAACTTAATCTAAACTAGCACGTGTTGTCAAAAGTTTGACCAGAAAAAGAGAAAAAAATGCCACCATAATTAGATTCATCATTGTTCCTTATGACATAACAATGGGCAATATTACAATTACACAAAAAAAGTGATTGTTTTATTACACTACATAAACACTTGAGTGTGTGATTAACAATCAAACATATTCATTCTAGCAGTAATATTGACTTCATGCTGTTAATATAGATAGATTTGGATATAAAAAGTCAAACACTGCCAAGCCAAACACTTGTCTTAGAGACTTAACTATTGATAATGCTGATACATGTAACATAATGCTTGCCCCATCATCACAAAGCAAAGATTACATATTGAGTCATTCCTAGGAAAATGAAGTTGCCTTACCTGGCCATGCATCGTGTTTAGGGTGTTTGACCGGGACTTCCACGACTATATCACCACCCTTATCATCGTAGGACAGCCATCTGTCTACATCAAACTGTAACTTCTCGTCCTTCACAAGGTCATGGAGGATTACCTACAGAATAAGACACTGTGTCGTATCACAAGGTCATGGAGGATTACCTACAGAACAAGTCACCGTGTGGTATCACAAGGTCATGAGGATTAGCTAGAGAACAAGTCACTGTGTGGTATCACAAGGTGATGAGGATTCCCTAGAGAACAAGTCACTGTGCTGTATCACAAGGTCATGGAGGTTTACCTAGAGAACAAGTCCCGGTGTTGTATCACAAGGTCATGAAGGATTACCTAGAGAAAAAGACACCGGGTTGTATCACAAGGTCATGAGGATTACCTAGAGCACAAGTCACCGTGTTGTATCACCAGGTCATGGAGGATTACCTACACAACAAGTCACTGTGTTGTATCAAAAGGTCATGGAGGATTACCTAGGGAACAAGTCACCGTGTTGTATCACCAGGTCATGGAGGATTACCTACAAAATAAGTCACTGTGTGGTATCACAAGGTCATGAGGATTACCTAGAGCACAAGTCACCGTGTTGTATCACTAGGTCATGGAGGATTACCTAGGGAACAAGTCACCGTGTTGTATCACCAGGTCATGGAGGATTACCTAGGGAACAAGTCACCGTGTTGTATAACAAGGCCATGGAGGATTACCTAGAGAAAAAGTCACCGTGTTGAATCACAAGGTCATGGAGGATTCCCTAGAGAACAAGTCACTGTGCTGTATCACAAGGTCATGGAGGACTACCTAGAGAACAAGTCACCGCGTTGTATCACAAGGTCATGAGGATTACCTAGAGAACAAGTGACCGTGTTGTATCACAAGGTCATAGAGGATTACCTAGAGAACAAGGCACCGTGGGGTATCACAAGGGCATGGAGGACTACCTAGAGAACAAGTCACTGGGTTGTATCACAAGGTCATGAGGATTACCTAGAGAACAAGACACTGTGTCCTATCACAAAGTCATGGAGGATTACCTAGAGAACAAGTCACCATGTTGTTTCACAAGGTCATGGAGGATAAACTACAGAACAAGTCACTGTGTTGTATCACAAGGTCATGGAGGATTACCTACAGAACAAGTCACCGTGTTGTATCACAAGGTCATGGAGGATTACCTAGAGAACAAGTCACTGTGTTGTATCACAAGGTCATGAGGATTACCTAGAGAACAAGACACTGTGTCGTATCACAAGGTCATGGCGGATTACCTATAGAACAAGCCACTGTGTTGTATCACAAGGTCATGGAGGATTACATACAGAACAAGTCACTGTGTTGTATCACAAGGTCATGGAGGATTACCTACAGAACAAGTCAC